CAAGTGAAAGACACGCTACACCAATACCTCAATAGCATGTCTACCAACATCTTCGAATCTTCCCGACTCGCCTATCGCGGCGCCATGACAGAAGACTTTGACGACGTCTTCGCATGGTCAAATCTACCCGAGCAACAACTTGGTGCCCACGGCGGCGACCTCGTGCCGAAGGATGCAGGCGCCAAGGAACGCGCGAGGACACGATTCAAGGAGGAAGCTCGGCCGCTCTATGTGCTCGCTGTAGAGAAAGATTCGGGCGAGGTTGTAGGGGCCGTGTCGCTACGCAATGGGACATGGCGGATGGAGTACGAGATCGGGTTGGGCGTTAAGAAGGAATTCTGGGGCAAGGGATACGCCACGGAAATGACGACTTGGGTCGTTCAGCACGCCTTTCTGTATATGACCGGTGTCCATCGCATCAAAGTGGCGGGTTTCAGCTCGAACCCGGCTGCCATCGCGGTCTACAAGAAAGTGTAGGTTCATTCCCTCACTCGTCATGCTCAACGTCCTGATCGCGCGTACAGTGGCTTTGTTCAGGAGGGTGTGACGCGCAGGGCGCGCTATTCGGCTGGGAAGTGGGATGATGTGATCGAGTTGGCACTGGTGGAGGACGAGTGGAGAAACCGCCTCAAGCTCGAGGAGAGTAAGTAGGCTGCAAATGTCATCGCAAAGGAATGAACGCCTATCAGATCAGGTACATTATTGCGTGCGCGGATGTAACAAATCACGATTGCGAAGATTGCTGTGTTAAAGGTCTAAGAGCCTAAAGAGGATGTCATGCCTCGACCTTGGTCCACTGAAGTTCCGCTGCAAGCGAGACGTGATCGCTCGCCGAAATACCCTTCTTTGGTAGTCCGTCGCCCAAATTCTCGGCTTTGTGTGGCGCGAGTATACGTAGTACTTTTGAACGCGAACCTGGCGGATCTAATAGAAACACGTAGTCTAGAACTTTGTGAGGGAAGCTCGTACACGACGGACCAACTACGCTCACCGAGTGTCAATTTCCAGTAGAATGTGTAGTTTGTATACACAGGCTCATATGCTCCTAGCGAGCTCTTGTCAATGCCAAGGCGCTCGCCACATCGTAGTAAATCCACATCTTCAACACCCGCCGCCGCTAGGGTCCTCTGCCCCTCATCATAAGCACTGCGAGGGGTAGGTTCATCGCCTAGAGCGTAGAGCGCTTCGAGCTCGTCGTCTTCCAACAACCCGTCCTCCGGGCGAGGTGGGCGCGTATTGACAAGGACACGATCCGGGTCACCTCCGCCCTCTTCCTCGCCCTCCTCACCCTCCTCGCCCTCGCCCTCACCCTCGCCCCCGTCTTCGTCCTTTTCTGCCTCCGTATTCTCCTGCGCTGCTGCGGCAACCTCGACCTTTTCAGGTTTACGTATCTCCTCCGCTGACACAGCCGGGTCTACGGACTTGTGCACGACGCGCGAGCCAGATAACTTCGCGCGGTGGGCCTCTGAGAGCGGTTGACGAAGCATGAGAGCGTAAGCGGCTTCATGCGGTGCAAAGTTGAAGTCGCCGGCGATGATCGCAGGCCAGCTGGAGCCGTGAGCAGCACGAAACGAGCGAGTCTCGCGCTGAAGCAGTGCGGCTTGTCGAGAGCGCTCATATATGTACGCCGGATGCCAGAAGAGATGAGTTGTAGCAACAATCACTCCATCTTCGGAATCAGTGCGCCGTAGAGCGACGATATGCGCGATATTGCGAGTGCGGAAACTCAGGCCAGGCTCATCATCGTAATATAGCACTTTTGAAGCGACCTTGGAGAAGATGCTGCGACGCCAGGCGATACAACAGCCGTGCTTCTTACGAGGTCCGGCGGCATAGGAATGATCGTATCCTGCCTTATCGAGTACCGGAAGAAGCTTCTCGAGTCTATCGGTTTCTTGCAAGCAGATGACATCGGCGCGCGGGGAAAGAAGCTCCTCGTAGGTCATGTTCAGACGCTGGTTGACCTTGAGGCAGTCGGACGTCGGAAAGAGCTTACGACCTGCGTCTCATGTTCACCGAGAATGCCGACGCTACGTTTGCAAGGCTACTCACGGACGAGACATTGCGCGAGAAGCTAGCAAGTACATATGAGCCCACAGGCGATTGACATAGAAGCTTGCGAACGGACATTCCAAGTCATGATTGTCAAACGAGGCCCTTCGGGTTCAGGTTCGCTGACTGAAAGATATTCGCGGCCGACAATTGTACCGCGCTGATGCGTTTCTACAACTTGATTCTGTTGCACCGCCTTTGACGCCGCACGTAATCGGCGTTTTTCCTCGGCAGCGGCCTGCTGCTCGGGAGTGAGCTGGTAAGGTTGCTTGGGAGCCATATTTGCGCGGGTTTCAGGCTTGAGTAATGCGGCAGCAGTGATGTGGCGGATCCGTAGCCGTATGTGTAGGGTACCAGCCGATCTATGAAATGAACTGAATAGCAACACGGCTGGAGATGGGCGTCAAGAGCAAGGCGACGAGTCCAGCTGGACGACTGTGTGACGCGTCGAGGACCAAATTCGAAGAGCAGACTTTGCCTGCTTCGTGCGGTCACTGCAGCACGCGTGGCCCCCATCGATTCAGCTGTCCAAATTCTGCATGCACCGCCGCCTTTTTAGCGGTCTTGTACATCGCGGCCCCTTGTACCGCAACCACCAGCCCGTCCGTCCCTTGTTCAGGCGCCCGTTCTCCCAGCTTTCTCCCTCTCGCGCTCTCGCCGCCTTGAAACCGCAAATGCCTGCTGATGACGCGCCTGCTGCCGCTACGGAGACCTACGGAAATTTCGATCTCGTCAAACGCATAGAACTTGACTTCACACCCGTCACCGTACACAAATGGCGAAGCAGGGAGAGTGGTTTGACTGTGGTACACTTGGATTACGAAGGTGGGCGCCACGCATATAACTGAGCGCATATATGTTGACGCGTCGACAGCTCCTATCGTTAATGGCTATTTTACCGTGGGCACTGAGAGTGTGTATACACATGCAAACTCTGGTACTCTTACTGACTCTCTGCAGTCTTCGATGATACCGGTTGCCCACATACACTAGAGCAGTAAGCATCATTCATCGCGCACTGCGCCACACACGACACTAATGGACGCATAGTCTTGTCTTCATGGGCTCTGAGAAATATCCGTACAAGGGCATCATCGACCATCTTGCTAATCGTGGCTTCTCAAACGGTACCAACGCGTGGACGGATACCGACCATACTGCGTATACGGTTTCGACGGCTGGGGCGCAGGGCTTTCTCCAGATTCTGCCCATATACGTCGACCACATCCTGTATCCGACTATGACGGACGCCGGATTCGTCACCGAGGTTCACCACATCGATCCGAAAGGCGAAGACTCGGGTGTCGTCTACAGCGAGATGCAGGGCCGCGAGAATACACCCGGCGACCTCATGGCGTTGAAGTCCGTGTAGCCGCTCATACATCTGTAGCCCATTTCTGATTGGCTCATATAGGATGCAGCGGCTAATTAATCCTGTCGGAAGCGCCTATCGCAGTGAAACGGGTGGCCTGATGGAAGCCTTGCGCAATCTTACCGTCGAGCAGAGTCAGTCAATGCCCCGTCGTGATGCTGTTCAATATGCTCATCCTCATGTAGTTAGGAAATATCATGGAACCTACTACGTCCCGCACAACTTTGTGCTTATCGTCGCTGGCAAGCTCACGGGAGGCACTGAGCAGCTTCTGTCTGTGGTGCAGAACCAAGTCGAGCCTTCAATCGCCGCTCATGGTCAGAATAAGGGTGTCCGTCCACCTGGTTGGAAACGTCCTTTCGTTGAGACTCCCACGGCAAATCGTCAACCCATCGCGAAGTACCTCGAGGAGACGGTCGAATTTCCCGAGCAGGATGAGAGCTCCGGTGAGCTCGCCATCGGCTTCATGGGCCCCGCAACCGGCGAACTCCTCGAAAGCCAGGCGCTTGACCATCTTGGAACCTACCTCACGTCTTCTGCCACCGCCCCGCTCAACAAGGAGTACATCGAGATCGACTCTCCTCTCGCTACATATATCTACTTTAATGAGGACGTACGCGCGACGCGCAATGATCTCACGGTCTATGTCGGTTCTGTGCCCACGGAGCACCTCGCGACCTTCGACTCGAAGCTACAGGAATCTTTCAAGCGCATTGCGTCTGAGGGCATCGACCTGGAGCGCATGCGTATGGTGATCGACCGTGACGAGCGCCAAGTCCGCTCGCGTCTCGAAAGCAGCGGCGGAGACAACTTCTCGCAGGCAATCATCTCCGACTTCCTCTACGGCAAGCCAGACGGATCCGACATCGAGCCCGTTCTGAACGAGATCAGGTTGAATAATGAGCTGCGCACATGGTCCAGCGAGAGATGGGCGGCCCTTCTCACGAAGTACTTCGTGACAGATGGGCGCGTTGTCGTGATCGGCAAGCCATCTGCTGCCATGGCAGAACGTATCGAGTCGGAGGAGAAGGCCCGGATTGCCGAGCAGCGCAATCGGCTCGGCGAAAAGGGCATCGCCGACGCTGTCAAGAAACTCGAGACGGCCAAGGCGGAGCACGAACGCCCAATCCCCACGGAGATTCTGACTTCATTCCCTGTCCCTGACGTGGCCAGCATCGCGTGGATCCCAGTGCAGAGCGTGCAGGCTCCCGGCGCAGGCCGTGAACCTTGCAAGATCCCGTCCGGCTCGCCCGCAGATGCGCTCGCAGCGCACTTATCGGCGGACGGACAGGAGCTGCCGTTCTTTGTGCAGTACGACCACGTCCAGAGTGACTTCGTCAGCGTAACGGCTTTACTGTCCCTCGCCAACCTCCCTGATCATCTGCGCCCACACATCTCTATCTACCTTCAGGCCTTCTTTAGTCTCCCGGTCGTGCGCCATACTGGCGAACGCCTCGGCCACGAACAGGTCGTCGATGCTCTCGACGATGAGACGGTGTCATACGAGGCGAACATTGGTCTGAATGGCTTGGTCCCAGAGACGTTCCGTGTGAGCATCCGCGTCACGAAGGATCGCTACGCTACTGCTGTCGCATGGCTACGGGACCTGATCTATGGCGTGGAATTCGACCGTGAACGTCTCGCCATCAACATCGCGCAGATTCAGAGCGGTCTCCCGAGCCTGAAACGCGATGGAAACACCGTTCTGTCCAGCGTACTTGCTGGATTGCTATTCAACAAGTCGTACACCAGCTCGGCCGTGAGCGTGATCCCGCAAAGTGACTTCATCCCGGAGATCGCAGCGCGACTGAAGGAGAAGCCGGACGAGGTTATCAAGGAGTTTGAGGAGATTCGCAAGGCCATCACCGATCCGTCTGGCGTACGCTTCTCCGTGGCTGGCAACATCCTCGACTTGCCAAAACCCCGCAGCGCATGGACAGAGCACTTCAGCAAGGCTCTCCCTCCTGCGCCGCTCGCGCCGATGCCTTTCTCCGACCGTACGCTGAGCAAAGTCGGACGCAAGCCTGTCAAGAAGGCGATTGTCGTTTCACTCCCCACGATCGAGAGTGCCTTCGTGTCCTATACCGGGACTGGCATCCGCGGATGGCAGCACGAAGACTACCCGGCCTTGCGCGTCGCCATCGAGGTCCTCGGCGCCACGGAGAGCTTCCTGTGGAGGTATATCCGTGGCTCCGGTCTCGCATATGGCGCATATGCCGGAGTGGACCTTGAGGCTGGGCATGTAACGTTCTCTCTGTACCGCTCTAGCAACGCGCTCGCTGCAGCAGCTCAAGGCAAGGTTGTTGTGAACGGGCTTGTGGACGGAAGCATCGCCCTAGATGAGACGGCACTAGACGCCGCGAAGAGCAGTATCGTCTTTGGTGTTACACGCTCTGTCGCAAGCCCCGTACGCGCGGCTCTGGCTGCATTCAGCAACATGGCGGTGCGCGGCGTCCCTGCACGGCACAGCGTGGAGATGCTGGAGAAGTACCAGGCGGTGACCCGCGAGGAAGTACTGAATGTGCTCAAGAAGTACTTCGTACCACTGTTCGACCCGGCAAGTTCGGTCGTTGTCAGCGTTAACGCGCCGGGCAAGGCCGACGAGATTGAGGAGGGTCTTACGAAGGAGGGTTACTCGGTCGAACGCCGGACGTTGGACGTGGACCCGGAAGAGCTGGAGGGCAGCGAGGATGAGAGCGGAAGCGAGAGCGGTAGTGAAAGCGAAAGCGATCGGTAGTGATGCCTTACTAAATGTTATTGAACTCTTATATCTTCCTCGTACATTATAATCACACATCACTGCTGTTGGCTATCTGGATAATGGGCGAGGCAAAGTGTCTTCTGCGCATGTATGGGAAATAAGATGGGTGGTCATGTAGATGGACGTTGTGGGGCAGGCGCTGCAAGAGACAATGAAGCGAGGAATGTCCGTGGTATCCCTGAAACGCCGCGAGCGTAAACGGCTGTAGTGCTGACCTGGAGCCACAATCAGAACGATAACGATGTCTTATAGCAAGCGCAGATACGCACCAGTTCAGTGTACAGTAATGCAGGTGAATGCCTATCAGACAACGCGGAACTGGGGTGTATTTTGATTTCCTGAGAACGACGTGAGCACGATGTGAGAGTACAAAGCAAGATCAGCATACCAAGGGGCCAAAGGCTTGCTTGTACGTGTTATTGGGTTGCAGTATAGCAGAGTTCAGCACCAATCCGCGAGCAAGACTGCGCAGTATCGGCTCTTCGTGGTCGCCCGCAGAGGCTCTCCAATCAACGCCATTCTTCTCACAAACGTCTCGTAACTGATTGCGGATGTCATTCGCCTCGCGAAGTGTCCGCTCGCTGACGAAGTTCGTTTTACACCACTGTGAGCGTTCAGACTTCGATGATTTGGAGATCTCGTCGTAAGCGCGCAAGACGTTCAGCCAGGTGAGATGATCGCCCGTTGGATGTCGGAACTTGGCGCGAGCTTCAGTCGCTTCATCGCGGGAAGCTACTGAGTCGGGGAAGAGCGGTGAAGATACAGACATGAGAGCGATGATAGAGATGATCTCTGAGGTGCAGTGATGCTCGACCGACTCCAATAGTATCCCGGCGTGTTCGGGCTCAATTGGGTACTTCGCCATCTTGCGACCTGTCTCGGTAAGCGCCCTCTTGTGATCCAAAGCTTGGATAAGAAAGAGCGTGCGCAAGGCAGCGCTGACTAGAGGAAGAGGTAAGTCTCGAGGCAACGTAAGCAGTGATGATACACACCCAGGTTGTCTTCTGGTTGATCCATGAATTCGATGTCTTCTATATCCTGCCCCGCGCACTTGAGTTGCAACAACGCGTTTGTTAGGCTGGTCCGTTTGATCTCGGGGTCCGAGGATAGGTGCATCTTCTTGAAGGCGTCCTCCGTATATAGACGGTAGCAGTAGCCCTTCCCTTCGCGGCCGGCTCGACCTGCACGTTGCACAGCAGAGGATTTGGTGATGTCAAGTGTCAGGAGTGCGTTCACGCCTGAGTCCGGATGTGAGCACAATCTCGACGGGAATGAAGCGTCCAACACATACCAGCACCTGTAGCACGACTGACGTGCCGCTTCTCTTTCTGCTTGCCGCTATCTATGACGTATTTGACGCCGGGAATGGTGAGGGACGTTTCCGCAATGTTCGTTGCGAGGATACACTTCCGGCAGTTTGGTGGAGCAGCTTCAAAGACGGCAGACTGTTGCTCGTTGGGTAGGGCTGCGTATAGTTGACACGTCTTGACGGACTTACAGCCCAGAGGCATCTGCTGAGCAAGATTTCGTATTGATGCGTCCAGGTTTTCGATGTCCTCCTGCCCTAGCGGAGGCGTATTAGTGAGTTTCTGTCGATCAAGGATTGCCTAGGCATACCTGGTAGGAAGACGAGCACATCGCCATCGGGCTGGTCCAAGTGAATCTGGAAGAAGGTCCGTAGAGCAGCTTCCGCCCAGTCGTTTTGGTGCGATGATGTGTGGTAGATTGTGACAGGGTGCTGCCTACCCTGGACGTAGATAATCTTTGCCCTGGTTTGATGTCAAGACGTGACTTGGCACAAAAGTTGGAACCACGCACTTATCAAAGAACTCGCTGAACTTTTCCGCATCCAGTGTTGCGGACATGACCACCACTTTCAGAGGGTTTTTGGGCTTGCCGTCGGCGGTACGTTTCGCACCCGACCCATTGCGCTTGCGCAGGATGGACTTCAAGCTCGCGAGGATGAGATCTGTGCGCAGAGTGCGCTCGTGCGCTTCGTCGACGATCACCACGCTGTATTGTTCTAGCGTCGGGTCTCCCATCATCTCGCGCATGAGCATACCGTCCGTAAGATATTTGACGCGCGTGTCCTTATTCGACTTCTCATCGAAGCGGACGGAGTAGCCGATGAGCGTACCAAGCTGTCTTTGTTGTTCTTGGGATACGCGAGCGGCGAGCGAGGTAGCGGCAACACGGCGTGGTTGTGTCACGGCTATGGTTCTGTTGTAGAGACCAGACTCTAGCAGGTACTGTGGGATCTCTAGAATAATGTTTAGGTATACGGTTTGAGGGACCAGCCAAGGAAACGTACGGGTCGTCTTTCCAGATCCAGTTTCTCCCAGTACGACTGTGACATCGTTGGCAGAGATCTCGCGCAGAATAGCATCCTTCCCTGAGCCAAGATGTAAGAGACTAGCAGCGCTCGCGCGCGGGCCACACACCTTGCGCAATCGGCAGCTTAGCTCTTTGCTGCTGGATATCCTGGGCACGCTTTGATGACATATTACGAAGTAGTTGAGTTCCGGAGTACTAGGCCTGAGAGCCTAGACGAGTGGGTGCAGGTTCAGAGCAAGGCTGAGAAAAAAGTCCCGCAGAGGTGGACGTGAACGCGAAGATGCTTCTTCGACATCTCGACATGAACGCAAACGGATCAAACGACAATGATGTCGGAGGGCCACTGTGTCCGCTTGAGTCCTCTTCAACGTTTGAGCAGCTACCACCACTGGCATGTTGTTTACAACACCTCATAGCCAGGCATTACTGCCAATATCTTATATAGACGCGACGTAGACTATACAGACTCAATTGGCAGCTCATGCCATAGAGCAGAGGGGGGTCGAGTACGATTATACCCTCACAGTGAAATGTCTACCGACTCACCGTCAATGGGGCCAGGAGGGTGAGTATGTACGTGGTATATGTCCATAGCATCCTGCCATGCGCATTCATCGAGCTAGCGATGAGATTAAAGCTTCGACGCCGAGCCCGATCAAGATAACATGCTCTCTGGCCAAATATTCTTCAAGCCCATGTACGACATCGTGGTGGCTTTCGTAGACCGGCGGAGGGTTTAGATCTGTATGCAGGGCACGCTCTACGAGAGATACCTCGGGCAATCATACATAGTACTCTTGTACAGCCCCGCATCCGTTCGCTATCGGGCTTCCTGTCCAATCCGCTCGGGGTGTTCGTTCCTTTCAAGGGCACCGAGATCTACATGTGATTACTGCCTTTCGCCTGCCCGTGAAAGCTTCAGAGTACAGATGCGAGTCGCTATCTATCTTTCTGTGTACATTTGAGCTGCGATAGCGTCTATCTATCGCGAGAACGCGCAAAGGCTTGGGGTTCCCATAGAAGGAGCTATTGAACCGGAGAACCCATGTGGCGCGAGACATGGGCGACGTAGAAGAAAGGAGACACAGCGCGTTGCTCAGTCGCTCAGGACGGAATTGCGCCACATGTATCGATGAGATAGTCCGGTTCTACCAACAATCATGAGCGCCGGTATAAAATGGCGCGTTCAGACGTTTCGCTTCGCTTGACAGCGCACTTCCCCATCCGAATTCGGTTGCCCCACAAAGTACACACGGGCTCGAACCATACTCTTGTAGCTTGTCTCGGCCCACCACCTTCTCGCGCACCCGTCCCTCTGTCCTCCCACCCCGTTCTTTCACCCTCCTCCTTCCAAAATGGCACCAGCAACGGGCAAGGGTTTCTCATGGTCGAACATCGCGGTCGGTACGTGTAACTGGTCGTGTTCCTTACGGTCTGAGCTGACAGTGGGGTTATGTTTCGCCACGTACAGGTGCCATTATGAACATGGTACGCTTATATAAGTTTTGAGTACTCAGTTGTACTCACCAGAATGTCTCCTGGCGTTGCGGTGCTTAGTTCGTACGTGCTGTGTTGTCCTTGACGCGTCTGTTTCAGTGCTAATACCTCCGTACAGGAGGCGAGTTCATATCCTTGACACAATGTCTGCTGTCCACTGAACGTTATTCGGTTTAATCGTACAGGTCACGACACTTGGCCAACCACTGGAGGTCATCAAGACCCAGATGGCGGCAAACCGTAGTCAGACGATGCTCCAGGCATTGAACTCAGTCTGGGCGCGCGGCGGTGTTGTTGGCTTCTACCAAGGTCTTATTCCATGGGTATGCCCTCGCTTTCTTCCGGCATGGAGAAGTACTGACTAGTTCTTTTGTAGGCCTGGATTGAGGCGTCAACGAAGGGTGCTGTCTTGTTGTTCACCGCTTCGGAGTTGGAGAAGGTGTCACGTAATGCTGGCGCCGGTCCCGCGGCCGCGGGTCTCATTGGTGGTATGGGTGGCGGTATCGCACAGGCGTACGCAACCATGGGTAAGTTCACACTGCCGCTCCGTTGCTTCTTTGACTTACGCTTTCATGTAGGTTTCACGACAAGTATGAAGACCGCCGAGATCACACGACACAAGCAGGCGGCGGCTGGTATTAAGCCACCCTCAACATGGGCCCTGTTCGCGGAGATCCTGCGCAAGGAGGGTCTCCGTGGCGTGAACAAGGGTGTCAATGCGGTCGCCATCCGTCAATGTACGAACTGGGGTTCGCGCATCGGTTTCGCTCGTCTTGCCGAGTCCGGTATCCGCGGTCTGCGTGGCAAGAGCGACAAGGACTCGCTCGGCGCGCTCGACCGTATCGCGGCATCTACTGTCGGTGGTGCTCTTGCAACATGGAACCAGCCCATTGAGGTCGTTCGCGTGGAGATGCAGAACATGAGCAAGGAGGCGACTGCCAACGCGAACCGCCCGGCCAAGCTCACTGTCTTCAACACTCTCACGTACATTTACCGTGAAAACGGCTTGAAGGGTCTCTACCGTGGCGTCAGCCCCCGTATCGCGCTCGGTGTATGGCAGACGATCTGCATGGTCTCCTTCGCAGACTATGTTAAGGAGTGGGTGAAGGGCCGGGAGGAGAAGAAGGTTTAGGAGCTCTACATCATTTATGGATCTTAGGAGGATTCTCTTCCCATTCGTTGCGCTATGCTCTTTAGAATACCCTACGCACATATATTGCACGGGATATCCCATGCTGAATGCACATTGCGAGAACACATGCACGCGCGTGCCTTGTGGGGTTGATGTCCGGCTTCCGGCAACACAAGTCGAGCCGCGTGCTTTAGAACTCGCCACCACCTCCTGTAACTCTACCCATCCCAACCATGTCTAAAGTCTCCACGAAGCCTGGCGTGAACCCGCTTTTGGCGAAATACCTCGCACAGCTTGCGTCGCACCCTCTGCGCACGAAAGCGCTCACTGTCGGCGTGCTTTGTTTCCTGCAGGAGGTCTTAGCGAATCACTTCGCGCGCGTCCCTTCTCCGAAGACGAAATGGGTGGACCCGTGGTACATCCACGCTCTCGCGAAGGCCAAGGTAGACTCGAAGGCTGTCAAGATGGCTCTCTACGGCTTCTTGGTGAGCGCACCACTCGGGCATGTGCTCGTCGGCGCATTGCAGCGTGCGTTCGCAGGGCGGACGGGTCCTGGTGCGAAGGTTGGCCAGATCGTCGCAAGCAACGCTATTGTTGCGCCGATTCAGGCCACTGGTACGTTGACCGGAAATTTAGTATGTATGTGAAATGTGACTGAAGTTCCATAGTCTATCTCGCATGCATGGCAGTCATCAATGGTGCGCGGGGAGCGGATGATGTGATCAAGACAGTGAAGGCCGGCTTCATGACCGTCGTGAAGGTATGTCCAGGTTCAATACATACACGTATCAGACTACTGACTGGATATAGGTCATGTGGGTCAGTTCACCATTGTCCATGGCATTTGCCCAGACATTCCTCGCTCCCGAGGTGCACCCCAAGCCGTTACGTTAGTGATTGTGTACTAATTGAATACATTCATCCCAGATGTGGGTGCCATTCTTCAACCTTGTCAGCTTCACTGCAGGGGTACGTGTTCAATATCTCGATGGGCTTAAAGTCCTCTGTCACTTTATCTTGTCTCACCTGCACCACAGACGTACTTCAACACGCGCGTCAAGCAGCTCAAGGTCGAGTCCGAGAAACGCAGGGCGGACGAGGCTAAGGGCAAGGGCAAGGACGAGTGATGGACGGCTGGCTTTGCTATATCTTCTACTGTTTATATGTTCGGTTTATGTTCACCTCGGGATGCTCCACTTTACGCTACCATATACTAACTCGAATGCGATGTTGTTCGCCTGACGATTGCTCAGGAGTGTATTCACGTTCACGGTAGTGAAATCGGGATACAGTCTATACGTCTGCCCATTCGAGTACCTCTACGACGTCGCCGACACGAATGATACCTTCCTGTGCTGGGACCGCGTTGCATCCGAAGCATGCCTGACCCAGTCGAGCAGGATCAAGACCCGTGCGAAACTGCATCAACGGCTTGCTCGGCACGCTCATATTGCGTCCACCAGACTCGGGGCATACATTCGGAAGCTGCAACGAGAAGTCAGCACTATGCGTATGATTGTCGCTGACATAGAACGTACCATGCATCGAGTGCACTTGCTGACAAGCGCAAATCCCGTTGTCTGTCCTTCTCCGTGGTGAATGGCAATATTTCGCCACATATCCTCAGCGAATGGTACACGCGCGCCTTCGAAGATGATGTTCGGTCTAAACCTCTCTATCTTCAATGTCTTCAGGTGTCCCGGGACGTCCTTCCCGACTTTGCCGTCAGGCTGATCCGCGACCCAACGTTCGATCATCGTGCGCACGGCCGCAAAACTCTCGTTCGAAGCTACGAGCAGAGGGTAGCCGTCATGATAGTCCACGCCCACGTCTAGCGTCGGATTCGTAAGAGTAGGGCTGGCTGGGCGCAAGCGTGGGCCTTTGTATGCAAGACGCACGGGTTTATTGAAGTAGTTAGACAACGTGTCAGAGACTAGGGTGGGAGAGAGCGAGGGATCGCTTGGCCGTGTGATGAAGCCGTCAATCTCGGTCTCCGAGTGTACGGATAGATCTTCGACACGATCCCAGGTAGCCAACTGTTCCTCGGATGGACGTAAGGGAATGTTGAGTGAGGTGCATCCAGAGTCAGGCGGGAAAGATATTTCGAGGCGACTGTTCTGGAGGTTGTGGATATCCTCGATGATTCGGGGAGTGATGAGTACCATCTACGCGCATTCATTAAGGAAGAGCATACTGTCAGAATGGAGTTAGCGCACCTTGGGTGTTGCACGGGCGGTTATGATCCTCTGAGCTGAGTCTATGATGCACCATCTCCTGTCATACTGTGCGTAAATCAGCGCATGCCATTTAACATTTCTACAGTGTACGCACTGCAAGGCCCGATCGCGTGAAGCGGCTCTCTTGCACAGATATACCACGACAGCTCTAGCAAGCGCAGTCAACCAAAACTCTCCAATGTTCGCGAGTAGAGTGTGGCGAGCCGCACTTTGATCGGATGCACGAGCAACTTCGCGACCTTGACCTCGTGTGAGGCAAGCCGTGCGCTGACATCGCCGATAGCACTCGGCTCGAAAGTGTACTTGAGCTCTACCTTGCCGTTCGGCTGGGTAGAGGCGGCGCCGCTTCCTGGTATGGGGGGAGGCTGTGCACGATTCCGAGTGTAGACAGCGACGAGCACTCCGCAGAGAAGAGTCACTAAGAACACGGGTAGTTGAGCGCGTAGAAGCTCGGGAAGCGACGAGAGCAGATCGTCGACAGGAGATGACATGGCGGGCGACACCGAGACGGTGCACACTGTGGTCGGAGACAAAGAGCAGCCTGCGGATGCCTGCTGGCTGTTCGACATCGGGCACGCATTCGATTACCCATACGTACCGGAGCTCCGTGGGCGTGAACTTGACTCGAACGTTCATTACGCTGTGTGGGTTTACCCTATGGGTATATGTAGAGATGCGGGTATGAGGATTCGCTCGAAAGACACAGAGGTACGCTGTCCGTGTGCGCGGGAACGAAAAGTGGTCGGCGGTGAATCCGGCCGATCGAGCAGCGACCCTTTCTTGATCTCCGAAGAGCAAGACGCTGTGGCTCCGTCATGCGTCCATCGAGAGCGCTCGCTTTAGACTCCTTCACCCATATCAGTGTGACCCCAATTCGACTGCTACTAGTACCTTGACTGGGCGTGCATCATGGCTGTACAAAGCAACTCCGAAGGCCGAGTGTCAAGTGGTGCAGATCCTTTGCCCAAGCTGGCTTTCCTAGGACCTGAAGGCACTTACTCGCATCAGGTACGCCTTCTATGCACGAGGCCGCGTTCAGCTGATATACTCATCATGTCTCGAACGATAGGCTGCCTATGAACGCTTCGGGGAGAGTGTTGACTACAATGCTCGAAGAACCATAGCAGGTGCGCCACTCATCCTACCGCGTTTTGATATATTCCTGACGGCACAGTAGGTGCTTTCCGCAGTGTCGATGAATCCTTTCCACTTGCACTACTCCCCCAAGAGAACTCCATCTTCGGTTCCGTAGTGGAGACTTACGACCTCCTGCGGGATCCTGCTCTCGGCCATTCCGCGTGGATTCGCGGCGCTGTCGTCCTTCCTGTACAACACTCTCTTGTGGTGCGCTCCGGTACACAACTTTCGGGCATTCGGAGAGTGCTCAGTCATGAGCAAGCCCTGGGACAGTGCGCGGGATTCTTAGATTCCCATTTGCCTGGGGTCAAGAAAGAGAGCGTACCCAGCACAGCTGGAGCAGCGGAGAGACTTTCAAAAGAGGAGACTATGGCTGATGCAGCTGCCATCTGCAGCAAGTTCTGCACGAGACTATTCCCGGGGTTGGAAGCATTACGCGAAGGGATACAGAACGAGAGCAGTGCGCCGTTTCTCGTTGTCAGGCGCTCACCTTCCATTGATATCTAGTCGCAGACAACTTCACCCGGTTCTACGTCTTGGCGAATACGCAGACGGAAACCCTGCCAGGTGCGGTCGAGCCCGACCAGCACTGCTATGCTTTGCTTCGGATACGTCTACGGCCGGAGATCGCTGGTACTGTGAATAGTCAACCGAGGAAGAAGACCGCGTCCATATCGGACATCCTCCAGGAGTTGAACCTCTCTGTATCGCGAATCGACCGTCGTCCGAGTCTAACGACGGGCGAAGGACAATTCAATAGTGTCTACCTGGTGGAAGTTGTCGGAGATGCAGAACCGCACAGAATACCGGCACGTTTGAGCGGTGATGAGGAATACGAAAGATATAGCTGGCTATCCGTATTGAGAGGGGCGCTCATGGGGATACAAGCTGTGGGAGGGCAGGGGGAAGTAATTGGCTTGTGGTAGATACGCAACCATCCTGTATTAGGCTTGTAATGCATCAATCACCTCTTGAGAGGGGTGTCTCCCTCCATTAACCACATAAACATTCACTAGACGCCGCCGACGATACCCAGTCACCACTATATCAGTGAGGGTGCGTCGGCCGAAAATCCCGAGATCGACACGCCGGTCCGACTCCGGAGTCCGGACGGGTCATTCATGCCCGACGAACGAAAGTAACAACTCGCCACCTGCCTGCGCGTGCGAGTCATTCGAGGGCGGCCGGTACTTATCTCAAGGTTGAACTTGGTCTCTTAGCATCACCTTCTACCACCCACCACCTACTGTCGCTTGTTTGGGACGCTCTTTGAAAAGTATGCACGCACTAAGGCTAGCATCGCGCTCACTACCGCGCATGGCCGCGAGCGTACCGCGGTCACGCCTCCTGCCTACCTATGCTCGTGGTATTGCAGGTATCGCCGGACAGGACAAGCTTGCGAATATCGACGTGTGTGCCCATTGTGCTCCATATGTTTCCCATGAATGTAACTGACTGTCCCTTTCCATATCATCATCCTCTACGCACACCCCCGTTGTGGCACTCTTCCTATCACCCTGGATGCCCATACAGCCGAGCAAGCTTGTCGTTTCGAAAACGTCTTCTCCAGGGTCTATGCCTCCCCTTGACACGCTCAAGTTTGGCAAGAACTTCGTACGCCAACCCGGTGTCTTCCTGTTCGCACACGTCCTGACTTGGCATAGACAGATCACATGCTGGTAATTGAATGGACGCAAACCAACGGATGGGGAGTACCTGAGATCAAGCCCTGTACGTTTTACACGTTCTGGGCCTCTTTTTGGCGCTGATCACCTTCATAGATGGTCCCATATCACTCATGCCATCTGCAACTGTCTTCCACTACGGTCAATGTCTATTTGAAGGATTGAAGGCATACCGCGACAAGAAGGGCCATGTAACGCTCTTCCGCCCCGACCTCAATATGCAACGCATGAACCGCAGTGCCGAACGCATCGCACTACCGGTACGTCCGCAAGACACTCGTCAGACGCACAGGACTAAGACCGTTTGCAGAACTTCGATGGGGATGCTTTGTTGGAGTGTATGAAGAAGCTTATATCTCTCGATAAAGACTGGATTCCTCAGAAGGATGGATACAGCCTTTATGTACGGCCTTATCTGAGTACGTCGGCTTTAACACACTGAGCTATGTCCACTCACGCACCTTATGCTTTTCAGTCGGCACCCAGGAATCCGTCTCGATCACCCCACCCGACCGTGCCCTCCTTGGTGTCATTTTATCACCCGTAGGACCTTACTACCCCGACGGCTTCAAGCCTGTGCCGTTGCACGGTACTACGGAGTTCATCCGCGCCGCGCCGGGCGGCACGGGCGCGTACAAGATTGGCGCGAACTACGCACCAGCTGTGTACGCTCAAAAGGCGGCCGCGCAGCTTGGCTACGTGCAGAACCTCTGGCTCTACGGACCGGAGCACTATCTGACTGAGGTTGGCACGATGAACCTGTTCGTTGTCTTCCGCCAGCCAGATGGCACGCTCGAGCTCGTCACCCCACCGCTCGACGGCATGATCCTCCCTGGTGTCACGCGCGACAGTGTGCTTTCGCTTGCGCGCAGCCATGCTGCCGGCTCTTTGAATATTCCCGAGCTTACTGGTAAGCTCGTGGTCAACGAGCGCGCCGTGACGATGCCCGAGGTGCGCGAGGCCGCGCAGGCCGGAACCCTCGTAGAGATGTTCGGCTCGGGCACCGCCGCTGTCGTCTCGCCCATTGACCGTGTCGGGTACCTCGGTCAGGATGTCCACGTTCCTGTGGAGAGCGATGGTATGGGCCCGGTGAGCAGGCCCATCTGGCGTGAGCTCGTGGGCAGGCAGACGGGCGCTATCGAGAGCGACTGGAGCGTTGTGGTGGATTAGGTTACAATTGGGCATATATAGATTAGACAACACAAGCTACACAAACAACACTACGCATGATACTGAATCAGGCTGCTGCTGATGTGCTTGTTTCATCTCCCGACAGGACATTGCCGTTGCCGTTGGTGTGTCCATTCGTCGTCCCCTTCGCGTGAGACCCGCTCGCCCAACCCGCGTTCTCAAGCGCATGCTCGAGCAACTTGATCATGTCTGGCCTCTCAGCGTGCTTGCGCAGACTGTCAAGTACATCCGGGAATACGTCCTTGTGCACATTCTCGCCCCACAACACGTCCAAGTGTTCGTAACCATGAAGCCGATGCACCTCAACGTTATGGTCCGGAAGGCTAGCCCGCATCACGTCGATATCGACGAGCGAGTCGGTATCGCCGTATAGGAGAACGACGTCAGTCGCGATGTTGCGTGTGGGGAAGCGGACGGGGCAATATGAACGTCCACGCGAGCCGTACGCATCATCGTCGTACATCAAGAAACGACCGTGGCGCATGATCTGAAACCAGTGCACTACGGATTTCGTCGATGCAAAGGAATACAGGTGCGCGTATGCCGCCATCTTTTGCAGTGACGATATGTTCTTTGAACGCCATCGGAAGAGCCAGTCCAGAGAGACGTCGATGACGCGGTTGAAGATGGGCGGGTATAAGATGGATTGCCACATTGCCGCGGACGAAAGTATAGCTCTGCGCCCGAAGACGAGGAAGAGAAGAGAGGGTCTATGCAGGATGAGCTCATGTATCCGTCATACTAGGCATATGGCTAACTCACGAGGCTTTCATCAGTCCGTCCACGATGGGCGCAGACAAACCGGCGGGGCTCATGGCTGGGGCGAGCGCGATGAACACGTTCACCTTCTGATTGAGCTGCGGATGTATACTGAGAGCCGCAAACGCCTGCGCCGTCCCCTGCGAGAAGCCCACGTAGCTGAGGCTCTTCGCACCAGTCGTCTGCAGGATGTACTCGATGCTGTCGGGGATATCGTACCACGCGAAATCGTCGATCGAGAAGTCCCAGAACTTCGGATGCGCGGGGTTGTGATGGTTACTCTTCTTGCTGTACTTGTTCCCGCGGTTGTTACCCAGCCAGACGTCAAAGCCGGCCTCGGCGAGAACAAAGGGAAGGGCGCGGCGGGCGTCCGTAGTGCAGATCCAGACCTCCGAGTTCATCAGCAGACCGTGGTGCAGATACACCACGGGCTTGCCGGTACTCGTTCCAGGGCGCGGGAGAGCGTCACCCGCACGAACGGGGATGCGGTGGATACCAAGGAGGTAGCCATCCTTCGTCTGTACAACATGCTCTTCATGCTGGTAGCCGAAGATATTGCAGAGGGCCTCGAAGTCCCGCGCGCGGCGGATGCGATCTGCGAGCCGCCGTTGTGGGGAAGGAGGGGCTGGCGAGGAAACGTAGCGATGGAAGAGTTTCGCGGACTTGAGGTAGCACCAGTTGATGATAGATTTAGGAATGAACGGGATGATGATGTGCAAGATTGACTCGAAGAAGACCAAGAGCAGAGAGATGAAGACAGCGGGGTATTCGTGCGACCGTAATCGTCCAATAAAGGGTATGGTAGGCATGGCGCCCTAGACCTCATAAGCATCGAGATGATTTTCTAGAGGAAGTGCACATACTGGACTGTGGGTCTATGGGACTACCAATATATCTTCCAGGTGATGGTCCACGGCCGAATTCTAATCACGTATATACAAACTGGACACTCGTTGGGAGCGGACTATCGAGCACCAGAATTTGGTAGGGAGGCACGAAGTGTGTCCTTATATGACGGTGGTGGTGGTGGTGGTCAGAGGCAAGATATGATGTGTGCGGCACAGGTCCTGCGCATCTTCGTGAGCAAGGAACGGCGCTAACAAGCGCCACAGCACTGGAGTTGCGCTGGGACGTGTGACTGCTACTCACCTCTCTCGATTCTGACTTCGGAACGAAGCGTCGTACCCTCGAGGTGCGCTATCGGGTGGAGGCAGGACTCTGCTGGCGTCAAAGCCCAAAGCTGGGTCTATGTGCAGACTGTTATGTCGACCGTTTGTTGGAAGTTCTAACACAAGAAACGCGTTAGACGCGCGCGGGCGTTCTCATGTGAATTCGCAGCCACTTGGACCCATATTAACCCACAATTGGCATCATTGATCTCGGAAACCGAATGAAGTGATTCCACCAGCGATGGCTTCCCGATATATTCTAGATCCGTATTGTACAACGACAAGTCTGTGAACAGCTGTGTGTGCGAGGCGGCACTATGGCGCTACGCCGGGTAGGAGCGAACATTTCATAAAGATTATTGCCATGGTGAACCGAGTAAAATGATTTCATTAAATCACGCATAGCACACGCAGCCTTAGCAGCTATAGCAGAAATATATACCCTGTACTTTTGTAGGTTGAGAGCTAGCAGAAAGCTGGGTTCATGCCAGCCTACGACTCTGGAGAAGCCGACGGCTGAACGTGCGTTAAGTCCGTCATTGGAAATGGCAATGTCTTACAGTTGGAATTTCAGCGTCAGCGCCACTCCTTTAAGCCCGCGTGTAGGGTTGAAGCGTAAAGTAGCGCCCATAGACGCGGCTGAAGAAGCTATGAGAGTTAGGGGCCAGAGCGGCGTCGGGGGTTGAAATAAACCACGCAGCGGCGCGTGAGGTCCCCGTCCGGGCCGCCCCCTTTCAGTCCTTTCCCACTCACCTTCCCCGTTCACTCGCGTCGAGTCACCTCCAGTCGCCTATACCATACGACCAGATGTCATTACCGGGACATCGACACACACGGACGCACACCACACCGTACGAGGCGTGAACCCGACTGCGGCGGGATCCCAGCAAGATACTTCGCCACCGCATATCCATCACCTGCGCGAGCTAGGGTGGACGAACAACAGGGCCGGTCTCGCGGGACCTATCTGAGCGTACTCGCTGGGGCCCTATACTCCGGCACTCGAAGACACTTCGTTAATAAGATTGGGGCAAGCGCACAGGCCACGGGCGCAAACCTTCACCACGATTTCCAACCCGACGTCAACTAGGAATCTGCTGTCGTCGTGACCTTTTCCCCGCGACGGACACTCACAGCATATCGGCAATGTCGTTTAAGATAGCTTGAAGCTATGGGTGGAGAGGTGAAGGCCAGGGCCAGGTGTCCTTCAGGTGCGTTGAGCGTCATTGCGACCAATGCCTTCGATGTACCACCTGCTTCTCGCCGAAAATACATGATGGTTTCCCCACCCGGGAAGGAGCCTTGTACTTGCACTTGAGACTAGGGACCAAGGTGCCACATCTCTCTCTGTGGCATCTCCCACTAGGCGCATGCCGCCTCTGTACCTCAGGCATGTCAAGAACGAGACTTTGGCTTGAGATTCAGGCTGCGGCGCGTTGCGATGTTACACCCGTTATGTCCGTCGTATCCATTCAGCACTTGCTACAAGTGGCTAGCTGCGTGCCCCGATCCGATGATCTTGGAGACGGATACCGTCGCCACCGCCCACCACGGCTCTGACTCGCATGCGAAACGGTCACGTGCGTTTGGCGCCCGTCGACTCGCGTGATGTCTGTTCGAGGGCGTCGCTGTGCATCGGTGAGAAGGGGGATAGCGACGCCGCGCATCGCCGTGGTGCACCACACGAGTCAAGAGCGGAGCATGCTAGGGATGAGATGGGTCATCAGAGACAGCGGTTACTACCTCGGCTGGCAGACAGAACGCTTATACGTGAACACCAACCGAGCGGCTTAACCGAGTACGCAGAGCATAGAGTTCAGCAGAGCGATGCCTGAGGGTAGTCCGCAGCCCAGCCTACTTGTGTCTAGAACTCGCCTGTGTAGTGATTTGCAATTCCAAGAGCTCGCGTCTTTGTGCCAAGTACTTGTTGAGGTGAAGCAGCTTGGTCTGGTATCGCGCTCCCGCTGGCCATATCGCGCTTCTGGGTCCTCGGGAGAGTGGGCGACATATGTAGCAAGAGGCGGCATGAACGGTGGCAGCAACGTGCACGGGCTGCAGCATGCAGGACCTTGACCTCGGGAGCGCGAACAGAGTTGACTTGCGTGTGAACGCGCACAAGCAGGGCCGACATCGCTCGAAGAACCTTGCGCTCGACTCTCAAAAGGAAACGTCTGAGCCGTCGACGGCCCCCCGTCGCCTTGAGGGCCTTGGCCGCCAACTACCACCACGCTCCTTAGATTTCCGGTCCCATGCCTGCTCTCCTCTCCCCAACTTACCCATCCTTTGCACTCGTGGTCACTGAAGCGTTCTTTGACGCTCGGCCTCCGCCGACCCCAGCCACGCGCCACACGGACAGCCTGCGTCTTCCCTCGAGGTACGAGCCTTACCCGCGTCCGAGTCCAAGACTCGACGAGCCCATGATGGTGCGTGTCCTACACTCTGCCGTTTGGACTATGCTGAACACTCTGCAGACTACCGTCGACTACCGCTGGTCTCCCCCTCCCACTACTTCATACCACTTTGGTGCGAGTGTACGTCTAGACCCCTATGATATGGCGTCCTAGCTCAGCTCAACTGACCTGAGTGAGCCAGCGCGCCATGATGGACGTAGACGACTCCTCCGCTGAAAGTGACGAGTCGCACTTTCTCGCCGTCTACAACCTTGATACCGCCGTGAATGGCCTAAAACCTCACAAGCCTCTCTTGGCTCGGCGCCCTAGCCTCTCTACTGTCGTCGTGGTATGCTTCTCGTACGGTTACTATCGACACGCATGCTTATTTGCGGCCAGGATCTTGCGCTTCTTCTCAAAGCGAGCTGCAAGAAGCTCCTCGCGCCGGCCACTAATCTGAGAGCTACCCGCCCCACACCCACATCCTGAAGATCATGCCTCTGTTTGTTACATAGTCTGCATTGTCCGCGCTCAACCGCTTTCCATATCACGCTCTCCTTAGTACGCTATGTCCGTATTATACTTAGTCGCCACATCTTGTTCTCGGTTGCTGTTGCCATGCAGTGCGGATCATCGCTCCACTTGCTTTCCTTGTCTCCCTCGTCTCCGTTGCCTGTCGAAGGGCGGAACTATATACATACACTACTTATACCTCCTTACTGGTACCCTACCCTTAGTGCAACGCTGTATATGCTCGCGTAACTAGTCCTCGCTTAAACCACGCTTAAAGAAGCCGATCGTCGAGATCTAGCGCAGCACGTGTGATCCAGCATAAGGGTTTCCTGAAACGCGGTTCCAACGCTCCTCTGACCTTCACGACTTGACGAACCCATCCCCTCTACCCATATCTGAACAGCTACGATGGATGAAGAGTACGATGTGAGTATGCGAATAGTGGAAGATGCCCGCTATGCTAATTGGATCTGGATGTAGTACGTTGTGCTTGGTACCGGCCTGACGGAGTGTATCCTGTCCGGTCTGCTGTCCGTCGAGGGCAAGAAAGTGCTGCACATGGACAGGAATGACTACTACGGAGGTGACAGCGCATCTCTGAACCTTACACAAGTATGTGTACTCTCTTGATCTACTTGTACACTGTATCTGACAACGGTCACCAGCTGTACCGCAAGTTCCGCCCCGACCAGACGCCTCCGACCGAGCTCGGCCGCGACCGCGACTACGCCGTCGACTTGGTACCCAAGTTCATTATCGCATCCGGCGAGCTCACCAAGATCCTCGTCCACACCGATGTCACGCGCTACCTCGAGTTCAAGCAGATCGCTGGCTCCTTCGTCTTCCGCGACGGCAAGATCTCCAAGGTCCCCAGTACCGAGATGGAGGCTGTCCGTAGCCCGCTCATGGGTATCTTCGAGAAGCGCAGGGCGAAGAAGTTCTTTGAGTTCTTGCAGAACTGGAAGGATGAGGACCCTGCTACCCACCAGGGTACGCGCGAAGCTGTAGATGCTATGACACACTGCTGACGCGTCTCCTAGGCATCAACCTCGACAAGGACACGATGAAGACGGTGTACGAGAAGTTCGGTCTCGAGCCGGGTACTCAGGACTTCATCGGCCACGCCATGGCCCTCTACTTGGACGACGAGTATGTATATCACCCTTCGATGATGTAATACGGCGCTTAACAAGATCTAATCTACAGCTACAAGACGAAGCCCGCGCGCCCTGCATACGAGCGTATCGTCTTGTACACCTCGTCTATGGCCCGCTACGGCAAATCACCATACATCTACCCTCTCTACGGTCTCGGCGAACTCCCGCAGGCTTTCGCACGTCTATCAGCCATTTACGGTGGCACGTACATGCTTGACAAGCCCGCACACGAGATCGTGACGGATGCCGATGGCAAGTTCGTCGGTGTTCGCTCAGGAGACGAGGTCGTCAAGGCCAAGGGTGTCGTCGGTGACCCGAGCTACTTCGGTGCCGGTGCCGGCGACGGTGGCAAGGTCCGCGTAGTCGAGGAGGGCAAGGTCATCCGTGCGATCTGCATCCTCAAGCATCCCATTCCCGGAACCGAGGACTCGGACAGCGCGCAGATCATCATTCCTCAGAACCAGGTCAACCGCAAGAACGGTACGTTGTCTGCCATATCTGTCATTTTTAAGCCGCCTAACAAGCTCCCAGACATCTACGTCGCTTGCGTCTCGTCTACGCACAATGTCTGCGCGAAGGACGTCTACATCGCCATTGTCAGCACCATCGTCGAGACTGACAAGCCTGAGCTCGAGATCGCACCGGGTCTCCAGCTTCTCGGTCCCATCTACGACAAGTAAGCGCCGCTTGCAATCTAGATGATCTTATCTCGTGTCTGACGTTGCTTCGCAGGTTCGTCTCCATCACTTCGACCTACACCCCGACGTCGGACGGCAAGTCGGACAACATCTTCATCACCAAGTCCTACGACGCGACCTCGCACTTCGAGACTGTCGTCGAGGACGTTCAGGACGTGTGGCAGCGCATCATGGGCGCGCCGCTCGTGCTCAAGAAGCGCGAAAACGTGGAGGTTCAGTAGACGGCGTGCGCACGACATATGATACGACGGAATATTTCTTGCACGGATCTGCTGGTCTCTCGCTTACACACAATGATAACTTGTACCATGGAATACAGCTTTGCCTTCTTTCTGCGCGCGTGAGTGAGGAGTTTGGTTTGAGCGTGATTATGGTGCGTCGTGTGGCAAGACGATCCGGTAGCGATGTACTGAGGGCACCCGCCACCCGGCACAGAACCATACACGATGTTGCTTGTGTGGGCTAAAGAAACACACCTTGCTGCTGGTAGTATTTATAGCAAACTGTACAGACCAACGTGAGCTCGTGCATGTACAGTATCCCAGCCGGATAGGTCGAGGTCAACGACATCAGCCTCCGGATCCCAGCCAGCCCCTAGGCGCAGTCCCGCTCCGTGCCGCGGGTGTTGACATCCGCCCATGCCGCCTCATGCCGGTCATTGACGAAGGGCTTGCCCCCGAAGTCTTGAGCGTTGAGAATGGTGTTCGCTTACCCGCCTCGAGAAGTTAAACTCCTGCCGGCGTACTGTAACGTCGGACGCAGCACCCGTCTCTGGTTGACTCTCACTTCTTTTTGTCGCGGTCTCGTAGGGGCATGTTTTGGTCCTCGACGGGCCACGGAGGAATAGACTGCGCGTTGCAACTTTCTAGTGCTGCGCTTGTATGACGTCCCTTGTGCATGACCGGGACGTTTGTGATGAGGGTGGCCGGTCAACGGACTGGAGCGGGGCTCTGCTTGAAATAAGTACGGTCCTCCTACTGACAGTTCCTGTATCCCCGACCGCGCAATAGCACGTCTTTCACAACCTCTCTTTCGCGATGCTCTCGCGCCATCCGTTCCTTATCCCTGCAGCACTTCTCCTTGGAGGCGCCTCCGCGTCGCAGTTTGCCACTAATGTGAGCGGGCGGCCCTTGATTGCTTGCGTGTGCCAATGTTGACAGTACTTTGCAGGCCGTAACACAGCAGTCCGCGGCCGTCTTGAATTCCGTCGTCCAGATCGGCGAGTACGATGACGACGACGCTCTATACCTCACCACTCCCCGAGGAACGGATGTCGAGAACCCTGTACCCATGATCTTCGACCGTAACGGGACAGCTGTGTGGATGGCCGACTCGACGTATGCCAATGCTTTCGATATGAACACTGGCTATTACAACGGTAGCCAGGTGTTGACTGTATGGACTGGAACTGTCTTCAGTAGCGGGCACGGCGCTGGCGTGGTGAGTCCCCCGTGTGTAATCAGGACACCATCTGGTACTGATACCTCCTATAGTGCTCCTTGCTAGACGATACCTATAGCATCGTTGCCAACGTCACTTCAGTAGGATCTGAAGGCGCTGACATCCACGAGGTGAGCGTCTAAGGATGTTCATATGCATCAGCGCTTACTTCTTGATCAGTGCCACATCCCGTCGTCGACCAACTCGAGCGCCCTCATTACCGTGTACAACACCATCCCTCTCGACCTATCATGTTGCGGAGGTACATCGGATGGCTATCTCACCGACTGTTGGTTTCAAGAGGTCAACATCACGACCGGCGAGCTGATCTTCAACTGGAGCGCCGTCGAGCATATCCCTCTTCAGTACAGCTACGCTGCACCGGGTGGTTCTGGAACGGAAGATGATCCATGGGACGCCTATCACTTCAACTCGATCGACAAGGACGCAGACGGCAACTACCTTATCTCTTCGAGGTACGTCCTAGACGCCCGATGAGCCGAAATGCGGCGCCTGACGCTCGCATAGACATCTGCATCAGCTCTTCCTCGTCAACAAGACTGACGGAGAGATCATCTGGACTATGGGCGGAATGGTGAGCAACTTTACGATGGGTAACGGCACGAACTTCGAGTGGCAACATCAGTACGTCCACATGATCGCCACAAGCGACGTCAAGGGTTAACCCATTTCAGTGCTCGCTTTCACAACGACTATACCAAGATCTCTCTGTTCGATAACGCCGCGGCTGACTGGGAACATGACGAAACTACGGCCCGCGGCCTACTCATCTCATTCGATACGAGTACTTGGAATGCTACGCTGGATATGGAGTTGCTTCCAGAGCCCTACCAGAATTACTCGAACTCTCAAGGATCAGTGCACCAGAACGCAGATGGCACTTGGACTGTCGGTTTTGGCTCTAATCCCTGGATGACGGAGTACACCTCGGACGGTACGGCCACCTTTGCGATGACGCTCGGCGACTCGAATCCGCCGATGAACGGGGCGATCCAGGTATTACTTCGTCAGCCCTTCTAGCGCGCCGCCTCATTAACCTTGTGTCTTAGAACTATCGCTGGTTTAGAGTCAATTGGGAAGGGAACCCCGCAGATCCCCCTGCTCTCGCCATCAACAACAGCATCGCCTATTTCTCGTGGAACGGGAAGACCGCGGTCCGGTCGTATGACCTCCTCGGAGGCTCGGATGCGGATAGCCTGTCGACGGTCTCGACGCATGTCCGTGCAGGCTTCGAGACGAACGTGTCGCTCAGCGACTTCTCGCATGACTATATCGGCGTACTGGCACGCGACAAGAGCGGGAATGAACTGGGTCGCAGTGCTGTCCTTGCTGTTTCAAACGGGAGCGCCGTCGCTTCGGGTTCGACGACCAATAGCACTACAACGGACAGCGCCTCAAGCAGCGCCCTATCCCTCGCGGCGGGCCAGAAGGTCATTCTTGCTGTCGCGGCCATGACCACTGGCGCTTTGTCTTTGCTTTAGATGGCAAAGATGCATTCCAGTGGAAGCTATGATGACAGCTCGGCTCTGCTGCGTGCTTCTAATCCTACCGGCCTCGAGGTCCTACACTCCTCACCGTCTACAGGAGGCCGCCACAGCAGCCTGTGGCGCGGTGTCATTTGCAATCGTGGTCATCTATTGATCCATCTTATTCAATCCAATCCAACTCAAGTTGACCGCGGCACATTCCACACCATGGACCATTGTTGTCTGACTCCTATTTTGTCATGTACGTCTAGTTGAGGAAAGGGACTTGCCTGGTCGAAGTTAATGATACAGCGCGAAACGGCGTAACGCCATTCCGAGTGGCACCCTTTCTATATCCGGTAAGAGTTTCACGGCGGTCAAGTCTTGAGGGTGGGAGCGGGAGATGCGCAGGCCGCCCAGTGCGGACAAGCGCGGAAGCCGGAGGATCTTTCTCGGCCCAATCGGGAACGCAACGTAGACGGGATCTCTACATCATGTTCGTCAAGTCTCGTCCCCGCCTTCTTCGCTCGCAGGGACGCATGCGTGCGCCGCACAGCCGCGGTGCCCATGCATTTCTCCGGAATCTCTACAACACACCGCGGCTGCGTCACAAGGGGCCCATCGCCGAGCGGGTACATATCTTGACCGTCAACAGGTTCAAAGGATCGCACTCTCTCCCCATCTTTCCCTTCATCGTTCTTGCCTTTGTGCATCTCTAACTCGCAGCCACCACCATGTCTGCTATGCACAACCTGGCGAAGCAAGTCTTCATCCAATTCATATTCGACAACAAGCAAATAGATTGGATGCGTGAGGCTAAGCGGCTCATGCAGCCTATTGGTACTTACGCAAACGACGAGCGAGTCCTCGTGGAAGCGCTCGCGACCGCACGCTACAGCGGGAAGTCCGTTGAGTCCGCGCTCTATGACCTCCACTCTGTCAACTCGCACGCGGAGGATGTCTGGAGGGACTACTACGTCCTGCACCAGCACCGTCTCGATGGGCTTGTCGACGCCTACTTGGCTGCGGAATCTTCATCCGCCTCATCCTCATCCAGGTCCTTCTCAGACGCAGAGGACAAAGACTCGCTCCGAAGCCGATTTCCGTCGGCAGCTCCCGAAGAACTCGCGAACAGCACAACGCCTTCTCGCGCCACAAGTCCAGCTCGCCTGCCTTCTCCCGATGTCACACTCGAACAGTACATGGATAACTTGCATGTACTGTTGCAGGAGGATCATCCATCTTCTACCGAGGGACCCGAAGCCATAGCGGAACCCGACGGGCCCTGTGTTGATCCCAGTGTGTTAGCGTATTCGGAAGACGTGAGTGGGTCCCCCTCGTGCCAGTCCACCTCAGAACTCATTCGCGCCACAGAGCTCTGCGGAAGGGCTTCCCGAAGCAATGAATATAGACGAGGGTATCGTTAACTTTAACGAAGCTGTCACCCAATGTCTGACACCTCACACCGGCACTCCGTCGTTGCTGGCGCCTTCGCCGGAGTCACCGGATTCTGTCCGTTATGGGACACCGTCGCCTTCTTCGTCGTCGTCCGCAACAGAATCGCCGCCACCAGAGACGCCATCTCCATCTAGTTCCTCCTCTGCTGGGAGCCCTCGGCGCGGTCTGCGCCTGCGCAAATCCAAGATGCGCGAGGACGCGGCGATAACGCGTGGGACCGCCCTGAGCCCATCGTCGACGGCTTCGACTTCCAGCCCTAGCTCAGTGCGATTGCGGGAGCTGGAAACTTCACCTGCTCGCGGAAGGTTTGTGTACGCCATGAGCGAGGAGATGGGTCGCGCTGGGTGCAAAGCGACCCTCGGCGATATCAAAGCGTGCGCACGGTATCTCGTCGAGCATCCCGACGTTGCATCCATGAAATGCGACCGACGTGGAAAGGAGTTCGGCAACCATGTCAGTCTGAAAGTGACTTCGTGTCGTGGATGGAGTGCTCAACTGTATCTAGTACAAGCAGCGCACAGCAAAGGCATGGTCGCACATCTTCACACGGTTCGACACGGGTAAGTACTGATTTGTACCCCAATACGATTATCACAACCTGTGCTAACGACCTACGTAGTCATCGAGGATTTCGCTGAGGCATATCGCCTATCCTCTCCCTCCTCTTGATCCTCTGCTGCCCCGCTGTATCATCATGATTTCGATATTCCGTCACTGTGCTTTCCCCATCTCTGTAATCGCTTTCTTGCTCGTAGCTGTATCCTTGCCTTCCAACTGCTGTACTTCAGAAACGTGTATTACCAATGTACGACTAATCGCATATACCTACGTCAATGCTCCAAGAACCCCATATACAATAGCAAATAGAATACAAGACTAAAAGTACAAACGTCTATTCACAGCGAGTGTATGAGTTCTCCATGATCAGAATCGGAATCAAACCTCCTCATCGTCCTCGTCTTGAATGAACCCGCCCACGGGCTCGTACGTCGCCTCGGTCGTATCCCGGCGCCACACTAATCGCACGAGCGCGAAGAAGCCGGCAATGATCACGATGCCGAGTACGCCGACGGCGGCGGGTGCACCGTACGCCCACCACCATGGTGCGCTGTATGGCATGAGCAGACGGTCGATCTGCACGACGCCGCCGGAACCGCCACCCGGTCCAGTCGTTGCGCGGCCCCAGGCTATGACGCGCGCCCAATCGTCGCGTGCGCCGGTGCCGCGCGCGTTCTGGATCCCGACTAGCAGCTGCCCGTTATCCGTACGGAAGACGACATCGCCGTATTCATGATCGGGAGAGAGCAGGGTGGCGTGGACTTCCTTGTCTTCCAAGGGCAGCGGCCGATCATCGTGCGGCATATCGTTCGTAGGCGGAGGTGTCTTGATGAGATGCTGGGCAACGATAGCTTCCAGCGCGTCCGAGTCCGCATACAAGGCCGTGAGGTTCACATTCTTGAACGCGTCGTCGTTCGGACAGAGCAGAGTCCACCCGGTGCCCCTGATACCCGCCCACTTGGAGTCCTCCGGAGGCGCGGTGCCGTTGAGCACCCAGTCCATTCCCGCGCGTGTGATAAGGTTAGCCATGGTCGTGCCTGTGGCAGCTTTGACAAGCTTGCCCACGGTAAAGTTGACGGTTCGCGGGAGCAATATGTCCGAAAGCTCGTGGACAACGCCAGTGCGTGAGAGCGTGTTCTGTAACCATACATCCGAGCTCATGCCGCGCCAGCCGCCGGAGCCGGCGAGCGACAATGAGCCGTTGCTTGCGCGAGTGAGCGAGACGTCGGAGCCTTCGAGTGTGCCGAAGGTTCGTGTGGAGCCGTTGGCGAGGTCGTTGGCGTAGAAAACGCCTTCGAGGGTATGGTGGAGGATGGTGTTCTTCAGATCGGCCTTTCCTGCCGTTGAGAGGAGGCGGGAAGAGACGAGGGCGCCAAGGCGCTTGAAGGCATCGTTGTGTGGGATTAGCAACGTGGACCGCACGGAGGTCTTGAGTACGTCTTGAAGATCTGCAGAAAAGACTGCCGCAAGGAACGCGGAGAGGTCTAGCGAGGGAAGTGCGACAGCCAGTGAGTCGGCGGGAGGGATTATGGGGCGAGATATAAAGTAGATGAGGGCACTGCCCACCTCGACTGTAAATATGTCAGCAATGGCCGACAACTAGTAAGCTGAGTGAACCTACTGCTGTCTACAACAGCTGCACCTGCAAAGCGAATGACTTCGGAAGAGTCGGCTTCGGCTTTGCTCTTGTCTGTGACCTCCACCTCGAGAACCTGCCGCCCACCATCCAGTCCGTCCTCGATCAACTCCGTCTCCACCAGAGTAGCGTCTCGCAACTTCTTCGGTGTCCATTTCCCGGGTAAGAAGTGGTACTGTAGAAGCTTCTTCAATTCCTCAGAGCCCTTCTCCGGCAACTCGTCATTGCCAAAGAGCGTGATGACATCGTCTGCAGGTGCGAGTATAGTGTACTTGGCGTCGGTGTTATTGACGAGACTGGTAAGATCGACCGAGTGCAACAGGGAGATGAATGTGGTGCAGTTGAAGGTCAGGAGCATCTTCTCTGGCGTGAGGCGTAGCGCGCCATCCGGAACAAGCAGTGAGTTAACGGTGTGGAGTACGCCGTTTGCCGCATAGATGTCGCTCTGAACAATTTCCGCATTTGACACTAGGACTTTGTCAGGCGCCCGTACGACTTCGAGCGTCTGTCCGTGCAACGTGGTGACTGCGTGTACAAGTAAGCCTACTGCGCGCCTAACTGATATTGGGGATGACTCACGATTCACTGCGGGCTCGAAAGACTCGCTGTACGCGACGCGATCTTGTACGACTGCGTGCATCTCAAATATCCGCTGGAGATCATCCGCAGCAAAGTCGCTCTCCAAGTACAAGCGCTCATACTTCGGCAAAGCGTTGAAAGCAGAGTCCACAGGAACGAACAATGTGAGCTCAGAGGTGTTGGCCAGGCGGTCCTTCACCTCCGGTGTGAGTATTCGTTGGAAGTAGGACAACGATGACTGATCCCCGATTATGTCCGCTGTAATGTATGCACGGCGTCAGTGGAGATGAGACTCAGCTCATCTAGTCATGAGGACGTACCAAGATGGGATGGAGGTGCAAGGACCGAATCTATGCCGAGGAGGATGCCGTTCCCGGCATCCACCTCACCCTTCACGAGCTTCGCACCGCCCTTGCCGAACGTGTCCACGCCCACGTATACCGCGGACTCGCGTGCAGCCACGCGCAATCGTTGGGGTTCGCCTCCTAGCGTGCCGCCGGGTTGTGGCATCCATGGGGGTCGTCCAGGGGGTTCATGCGTAGGGGGCTCGGTGTGTTCGTGGGGAAAGTGAAGGGTATGTGTGACCAGTATGCTCTCCTCTTGAGGCAGAGATATAGAGTAGTTAAGCAGGTGATATAATAGATCCTGGCGTAGTTGCTCGTGTACGTTGTCAAGCAGAGGCGAGTCGTCGTCTGAAAGTGCGGCATGCCACAGCGAGTTGGAAGCCTTGTGCTTCTCTATTGCGTCGTTCGTAGGCGCAAAGAAGGTAGAGCCATTCAAGCGGTTGAGTGTGGGTATGAGCTTTGCGCGCTGAAGCAAGCGGAGAAGCGAAGAATAATCCGAGTCATTTGATAATTTATCGACGAGTGTGGTCGAAGTTGTCCGCACTGAGCCGTCAAAGGGTGCGGCGGCGACCGCACCGGTCCGGGCAGGTGATTCGAAATGGACCTGGGCGGGAGTGGCCCATGCGAGGTGCAATAAAGCGAGGGAGAATAAACAGCGCATTTGCGGTCAGGGAGAGCACATCGAGGTTCTGGGAAGAGGAGTGCGGCCGCGCGAAAGCAGCAAGCTCGGTCAAGTAGCGTGTTCAATTCAGTGCGTCATTCACGCGGCTCTCACCTTAACGTCCTCTATGATCGAGCTCGTCAATGCCTACATCGGCACCCCCTCCTCACAGCCGGCAGTACTAGCGCTCAAAGACAGGTCTCTCCTAGTGCGCTTGAATATAACCGATGATGGCGCCACAACACTAATGGAGTTGTAGCTTTATCCCACAGCAGATTCTGTCGTTGTTCTCGATGCACGCACCCTCGCGCTTGTTCGGATCCTCGCCTTATCTGACATCTTTCCATCAACGTTACATGGCACAAGTCCCATATCGGCCGTGGCCATTGACCCGGCCATGAAGCTCGTGTGTACAGAGACAGAAACTCATAGTCGCGGGCACTTATACCCCCAGTAGGTCTTGGCGTCTATGGACAACCATCTCGCGGCGTGGTCTCTTTCGGGCGTGCAGCAGGATACATGGAGGGTGCATTCTTCGCTCAGCCTACCCAAGAATGTGCGGATCTCTGCAATAGACTGCCGATCCGGTGCGAGCGCTTTCAGACCATATGCACGGTTCTGTCAACTTACGCGGATCAGGTCTCTTGGCTCTCGCATGTTCGGATTCGCTCTCCGTATACTCCTTGGTTCTAGAGAATGACCTCTTGACGTGGTCCAAAAAGTGGGCATCACGGTAAGTGCCCGTCATGGATGCACTTGCCATGTTTCATGTTGATCTGATCTCTGCAGTGCCCCTAACCCTACTATGGTGCACTTCTCTCCTTCGTTGCAATACATGGCGACCGTCACACAGGTGCGTACTCATAACTCACATGCTCTCGGTGTTTGATCAATATGCAGCCAGACCGTCTAGTCCGCATATACCTTACCACGTCTGGTAGACCAGTACAGATTATACCCCATCCCCGACCTGTTGTCAACATCAACTGGAGGCAACCAGAACCGGACAGCAGGTATGAACCCGCTCATCTGACGTCATTCTGTGCTCTGACACTTTCGCAGAGACGACATGGTCCTCTACACTGTCACACGAGACGCCGCTCTCCGTGTGTTCATGCCCGTATTGGATGCGCCACAACATCTTCAACTTCACGCGACATTCGACATGCATTCCGCATCCCATCATCTACCAACAAAGTCACTCTCAGATAATCTTACCTCCAGTGTCTTCTGGCTCGACCGGCTGGCCATCGCCGATGCATTACAGAGTGCTCTCCGCAGTAGCGCTAATGCCGAAGACGGGAAGACAAGACGAGCGCGAGATATACTTGAAGAAGGCTGGGACCTGTTTCTCCGGGTATTCTCGGATGGCCAATTGGTCGTGAAAGCGCTTGCTGTGTGCACACCTTCCCTCCTCCCTTACCCTGCACTGGCTGATTCAATGCTGTAGAATGTAAACTCGCGGCCACCTACACTCCTCAAGCAATTCACTCTGCTACAGACACCATTTCCAGCGTCATCATTACCCAATTACCTCACCCTTCTCCCACATACCAAACAGCGCGGGGCACTCACGCTCGTCACGTCTCCGCCCATCACATCTTTTTCTCTGTCGCCGCTCGAGTTCTTCGACGCTCGCGAAGAGGGCCTCACCGTATCCGCATTATCCGTATCAGACGTCCAGTTCAGCGGATCGCACATCACTCGCTTCGTGCGGACGCCCGAGGGCCACGGTGTGGCGGTACTGCGCGAGCAAGGCGGAGAAGCATGGCGGATACGGGAGAGGGGTACGAGGCTGGAGAAGACGGCCGCATATGACTCTGCCGATCAAGTTATCGTGCTCGACCATGGCCGGACTCTCGCTACATACTCATCTGCCAATGGGACTCTGATGTTGCACTCGGAACCTCCTTGTACTCTGGACGTACCCGACATCGTATCGCTCTTCACAGAGCCGGCATCATCACCTGGCGGCCATACATGCATATATGCGCTCACCTCTGCTCCGGCATCCATCCTTCATATCCACGCCGTACTCTCTCCTTCGCCGAGCCTAGTGCTACAATCGCAAACACAGCTGCCATTAGACAAGCCAGCAGCCCTAATCGTCCGTGTCGATCCGATGGGATGGAGTAGAGGTTCCATTGGCGAGGGCGTCGTGCACGACGTGCTTCTCAGCGTGGGAGAGGATGGGGAGCTCGGTTTCTGGGTGCCGGACGAGGGATCAGGTGTTGGCGATGACGTTGCTTCAAGGAGAAGGACGGGATGGAAGCGGACTGGTAGTGTGCGGACTGGACGGACAGGCATCACGAAGGCGGCGTGTAGCTCGGCAAAGAAGACTGTACTGGGTGCGTTAGGCGTGCTGTCCTGTATCATCCAGGCGTACTCACCGTCGACGCAGTTGTACCTGCATTAGATGGTGAAGAGCTCACAATCTGGGACTCGAAAGAGTCGCAGTTCGCCTCTGGCCTGGAGTACGCCGTCACGCTCGACGCTTCAGATCCCGTCAACGATCTGGACTGGAGCGCGACGCCTGATACGCAGAGCATCCTCGCAGTGGGATACGCACGACGCATAGACATTCTATGTCAGCAGCGTGCAACATACTTCGAAGACGATCCGGGCTGGGCAGTTGTCAAGCAGATTAGTCTGGAAGGCATCCTCCCGCACCCTATCAGCGACTCAATATGGCTCGCGAATGGTTCATTACTCGTGGGAGCAGGGCATCAAATGTTGCTGTACGGTCAAGCACATAAGGAGAGCAGCAAAGAGGACGAGTCTCTGTTCGAGGTTGTCGCGCGACGCAACGGCCCGTTGGTGGACTATCATCCGCAAATGCTCCTACAATGTCTGCTGTGGGAGAAACTTGAACTCGTGAAGCAGATCATCTGCAATCTAGCCAAGGATGTCGAACGGTACCGGGGGTGGGAGCGGGTTCCGGAGCTGCAGGAAGGGCCATTCGAGTGGACATCTGTGGGTGTTGAGGCTATGCTGCAAAGAACCGACGGAGGAGATAGTAGAGCTGGGTTCAATGGCGCATCAGGAAGACAGAAGCGCGACTTCCTGTTCGACGCAGTCGATAGCTACGCAGAGTGCGCAACGTCTTGTCTTCTCATATACATGCCGTCTCTGATGATCATGCAGGCCGGAAGACACCGGGTTTTCCCGCTTGCTCGTGGAGAAACTCATCGAACACTTGGAAGAGCATCCGTTGCCGCATCTTACCCCGAATGAACATGCCCATCTACTCGTGCTCGTTCAAACGACTCTCGAGGTGAGCTTCATATTTCTAGGTCTTACTCCAGTGTTGACTTCTTTCGCAGGTGGACGAATCTCGACGAGCACTCGACGCCAACGGCCTACGTTACCTTATCTCCATGCGCTCCTTCTACATCCTGAATGCGCGAGCGACATCGCCTGCCAGCCCCGAACCACGTGAGAGCGGCGTCATCGCACGACGAGGCGGTTGGCGAGAGCGGCTACGATACCGTGACATCGTCTGGGCCTATCACTCGGAGAGCCAAGGTCTACTCATGGCCTCCGCCTCTTCTGCATGCGACAACAAGATGACGTGGGCCGATGCTCGAGCACTGGGCGTATTCATGTGGTCGCAGTCACTCGACGCCATGAAGGTGCAAATGGAGGTCGTTGCTCGAAACGAGTATATGGCAGGGGATGCCCGCGATCCTGTCGCGTGCAGCCTGTTCTACTTCGTTGTTGGAAAGCACAAGCTCGTACATGGGCTGTGGAGACAAGCCTCGTGGCATCGCGAGCAACAACCGATGCTGAAGTTCCTCAACAACGACTTCACACAGGCGCGTTGGAGGACAGCGGCGAACAAAAACGCGTATGCGTTGTTGAGTAAACGGCGCTTCGAGTATGCGGCCGCGTTCTTCCTCCTCGGCGGAAGCCTCAGAGACGCCGTACAAGTATGCTTGCGGAACCTGGACGACTTCCAGCTTGCTGTGGCGCTTGCACGTATACATGAGGGTGGCGATGACGGTCCAATTCTTAAGATGATCCTCACTACCAAGGTCATACCAGAGGCCTTCCGCACGGGAAACCGGTACTTGGGAAGCTGGGCTTTCTGGCTGTTGCATCGTCGCGATCTCGCTGTTCGCATCCTCGTCGTATGTAACTGGTTATTAGGATGCTGCATGACATTGACACTCTTTTCAGACACCACTTCAGGATATAGCGAGCACTCTCAGCCCTCCCATTGTCGAAATCGGCAGCCCTCACTACGACGACCCGTCGCTCGCGTTGCTGTTCTCACAACTCAAAGCGAAGACCCTGCAGGCAGCGCAAGGCACCAGTGAAATCTCAGGACGCGTCGAGTTCAGCTTTGTGCTGCAGATTGCTCGCGTCTTCGTGCGGATGGGTAAGTCACAATCCCCGACTATATTATCCCTTGCTCATCATGTAATCTCGTCAGGCTGCCATGCTCTTGCGCTCGACCTTGTAAGGTCATGGTCGTTCGATCGTCCATCCACCATCTCTCGAGACACGACACGGCCGACCATGCCACCGAGCCCAACTGCTTCCCGCTTTGCTCTTGAGCCCGCATTGCGTCGGCGCGCGAGCATCATGATCGACATGGACGTCGAAACTGCGCCGCCCACCCGACGTCCGTCTCCCACTCGCGAGCTATCACCTGTGCGGGAGGCTTCCCCTCTGGAGGAAATCCCCAAGTCACAGGCGCCCGACGGCGATCTTGTGCAACGCAAAGCAGGCATCGGGAGCTTGATGAAGGCTGCGAAACAGAATGTACAAGTTGCTGAGTTTGATATGGGCGCTTTCGGGTTCTAGTAGTTTATACATGCGTATGTTTCGGCGTTATCAAGTACAAGGTGTCGGTTTACTTTGAGGGTCTGTGCAGTCCCCGCTTGATCATAATACGCCCTTCGTGCTGGGCACATCATTCCCACCGGTTCTTTCGGTGGCCTGTCGGATTGCGATAGCCAACGCCTTGAACGCACTCTCAGCTCTGTCCGGTAGCGTTCAGTACGGCTACACCTTGATTAGATGTGCAGGTATACCTGTGGTGGTCGTTGGCTCCACGAAGCACATCGACGTGTAACGTGCAGCCGGACGCCATAGCGAACGAGTAGAAGATATGGGGGAACATCTCTGTGCTCAGGTCGCCGACCTTCTCGCGTTTCATCCCGAGATCGGTGAAGCAATAGGGCCTCGCACAGATGTCGATGACAGCCCGGGAAAGCGCCTACACTACGACTTCAGATCGTGGTCTATGAGGGATATTCGGAGAACGCACCTCATCCAATGGGGCAAAGCCCGTTCCATATCTCCTGATCCCGCGCACCTCTCCCAGCGCCTCTTTGAAAGCAGTACCAAGCGCTATCGCGGTGTCCTGTGTGGAAGGCAGCTCGTCAGACGCGGATGAGGTCCCGATGGGGAAAGACTAGACATATCAGCGGTGTGGTGGTCGTCAATCCAAAGGTCGCCCTTCGCTTTCAAAGTCAGAGACCAGCCTGAGTGCTTAGCCAGCGCATTGTACATCTACAGTTGTTCCATCTCAGTGAAGTGTATTGACTGTGAAGGTAGTACGACGGACATGGTCGAGGAACCCGATACCGGTCGAGATGTCGATAACCTGCGCATTCGCAGAACCTGGCTGGCAGTCCAAGTTTATCGAGATCTCAATCTCCGTCTCATTCGTTTTGCGCTTAATAGTCGCGGTACGCGCTTCCATGGTGGATGATGTGGAGGTAGGATAGATGATACAGGTCGAGAGTTGAGTTAAAATGAAGTTTAGTCGCCCAAGGCCAATGCAGAGCAGCCGATATGTCCGCTTAGGGGTTTTCGGTGAAGCGGTCCGACGCGCCCGATGCATTCCCGAATCCTGGCGGCGCGCGCTGCTTGAACCCAGCCTCCATCCTGCTCGTCTTACTCAAAGAAAGAATATACAGCTATATTGACATAGTATATGAAAATAATGAAAAAAACCAAGCGGAGACAGATACAACTGCCGCATAGATGTATTGTAAAGATCCAAAGGAATGGGGTGTCGCATGAGCATCGTATCACAGAGTAAATCACTCAGTCGTAGCGGTAGGGTCTCGGTAAACCTAGTCGCCGGTCAGCCATCGTTTGCATCCAAACAAGAGGAAGGAATATACCTTGAGGTCAAAGATATTACCGATGGGCCGATCCTCATCGACCCCCGTCGCAGCTCCCGCGTCGATCTTGAGTCCTTGCTCGTTCGCGAGATGCAACAAGCAGATGAAACAGAAGCTCGTGCTGATCTCGCCGAACTTCTCTTCGGGGTACTGTCGTCCGAGGCCTTGAATGACCTGGTTGAAGACGCGAGGCTGGTCAGGGTCCGTGCCCTCGTCCTCCTCGTCCTCATCCATGTCCTGCACATCATGTTCAGCCTGAGCACTACCCACAAGTGCGACCACGAAAGACGTACCATCTCATCTCCGTTCTTCTTGGGAGGTATGACGATCTCCAGGCCGCGCCAGATATTCTCCTTGAGTTTCCGGACATCAACCCGCTTCGCACGTTTGGCAAAGTTGACGGCGGCAGGCTTGACACGACGTTCTTGGCCTTCAACTTGCGCGAGGAGGTCTTGCTCTCCGGGATGGATGGGCGGAATATCGCCGACGGGAGCCTCGTAGTTGTCGTTATAGGCCATACCATCGTCGTCGTCATCGAAGAACTGCGTCGGGAGGGGAAGGGTCTCGGCAAGTCCTCCTTCAGCCTCTTCAGTGCCGGCTCGCTGTTGATCCTCGGCAGCTTTCGCCCAGAATTGCTCGTCGACCTCGCCATCGCCAGTCTCTAGCGGACGATCGCCACGCATTTGGAGCTAATCAACTATATCAGACGCGTCATTGACGATGAAACGAAGAAGAAACATACAGCGAACTGCGGCTTGAGGAAGAGATTCACGAGCGACTTCGCGGAGAAGTGCTCATCTGGAGGGAGCAGATGATCGGAGCGTTTGAGCAGCTTGTCGCCCTTCTTAGGCTTCATACTGCGACGCGTCACGCTCTGAACAGCCTTCGGCTGCAAGATACCTGTGTTGGCCTTCTTGGGCGGTTCGAAGAGGGTTTTCAGTTTCGCCTTTGCGTCGTACTCGCCAGCAGTCTTCGTGTAAGTGACTTTGAAAGGCTCCTTCTTCTCCTTCTTCTGCTTCGGGGCCGCAGTATCACCTGGCTTCCCTCCTACGCCTTGTTAAATGATGAGACCAGATGAGAAAACGAAGGCGCTTACCTCGCTGAATAGTAGTCTTATTCTTCCAGTGATCGGGACCCGCCCAGTTGCGCTGCATCTGATCGAGGAACAGCAATGTTTCGGGATCCGGGCCACCGCCCATGGCGAAGGCGACGTTCCCGCCAGTCTCCTTCGAAGGGTTGAACGGTATAGGTCCACCACCTGGACCCATCGCCTGCCCCTCATTCGCCTGCGCGCCAACCGAACCCTCCTCGCCGTCTTCACCTCCATACCCTCCAGGAGTGCTAGCGTTATAATCGTCTGCGCCACCCTGGTCACCCCCAAAGAAGTCTTCCTCAGCGGGCTGGGGCGGTGGGCCGCCGTCAACGTCCATCGGGAAGTCGTCTTGGGGCTGTGGCGCTCCAAAGTCCTCATCTCCATCGTCGCCGCCCGCACCAAAGACAACTGTGTCGTCGCGGAAGAGGGAGAGATCGTCGTTGTGATCATCGGCAGCTTCATCCGTGACGCCAAAGGAGAAGTGGTCAAGGGAAGGAGCGATGCTCAGCTGGTCCAATTCTTCTATTGGGACTATGAATTTGCCTAGAAAGCCAAATTCAGTGGATTGGATGATAGTGGAAAAATGAGCGCCGTTACCTCTCAAGACACTTAGGTCGATGAATGACGGAGGCATAATCCCTTTATCCTCCTCGTCTTCCTTGCCCATAGAGTCACTGGCGTCGAAGACAATGCGAAGCGCGCCCTCGCTCCCCAGTCCTAGACTGAGATGGTTCTGCAATAGACCATGAGCACCACCCTCATCGAAGTCTTCACACGTCTTCCTGAAGAGTGGGTCGACACTGAACTCGAGATCGTGCTTCTTCAACGTGAGTGTGCCACGCTTCGCAAGCGTCGACTCATGGCGAGTCCGTCGCTTCGCCTTCTTCCCAGCGGGGGCATCCCCATCCGCGTCCTCTTCGTCGTTCTCTTCGTCCTCATCGTCGTCCTCCATGCGGCCAGAGGTGAGGGCACTGAGCAACTTGCCGGTCTCGGATCCGAGGTTATCTACGCGGCTTGTCCAGACTTTGACGCAACCATCGAGTGTACTAGACGCCTTCTGAAAGTTGATGGACTGGTCGTCATTGTTGCGTAAGACTCGCATGTCATGGAAATACTCGATGAGCTCGAATCCCCAGGTGTTGCCTGCATTGATTTTCTGGCGAAAAGTCAGTAAGAATAGAGACTATAAAAGGATCTTACATACGTTTCCCATGGCGAGTTTCATCCATTCGTCGTAGTTATCCTGCTGAGGAACGAGCGGCGCTGCCCGTGTGTCGAGATCGGGCACAACAGAGGCCAGCTGCTGAACCGGCCGCCCGGTCGTCCTGTTCGCTCCATCACCATCTACTTCTCCGCCCTCTCCAGACGGACCGGCTTCCCCCACGCGGCTCTGCCTCCGCCGCCTCTTCTCCGCGAGATCATTGTTGACCACGGTCTTTGAGCGAGTGAGACCCGAGTCGTTGCCCAGAACTTCGCTCTTGCGTTTGCGCACGCCAGACGACTTTGTGGGCTTGGGTGTAGATTCCCTCTCCGTTTCTTCGCCGGATTCTTCGTCTTCGTAGAGAGGCCGTTTAGATTGTGAGCGAGAGCGTGAAGGCGGCATGGTGGTTCAAGTTGAACTTGATTGCGGCGCGTCGGCGCGTGACATGCGCGGTTGAGTGACGGCACGCGCTTCCAGTCAACACGTCACACTTCAGGTTGAACAGGCGCTCAGCGACTCACGCGTCTAGAGTCCGACCGCCATGGTCTTACGCGCGCTATCCATTTTCTTTAGAAATACGCTGAGCTTAGAAGAGCTTCAGGAGCCCTAAAAACCGTGATGCACGCATAGCGTTCAGTACTTGCCCCACCTCAACCTCAACGTTCGTGAAACCACACACGTGTACACCTCGGTCCTCAACGGGATTGCACTTCATCTTGTTGGATAGGATGAGGCAGCAGGCGCGACACCAGACAACTATGCGAAGGCTATTCAAGTAATCGTGCGCCGCCATTATTGGGCGTCCCTACTTCCATCCTCGCAGAATGACTGCCAAACTGCATCGCCCTCTTTTTCCTCGTACTGGCCTCTATCAAGCCCAACTTATACGCCGCCAAGCGTAGTAGCATCTTGTCACCAACGCCCATCGGAAGCCTCGGGTCCATCTTGTGGTGTACGGGCAGACTAGCGAGAAAGTTGACGACGTCTAGAGAGAGGAAGGGGTGACGCGCTTCTTTGCCGTGGGATGAGATGACGCGGTCATCTCGGCCCATGTTGCGGGTTGGTATGCGGTCGAGGTCCAACTGAAGCTGTGAATAGTGTCGGAACCCATGCTCGATGTTGTTGTATGCTTCGCTTACCTCTTCGATGACCGACTTCCATCCGTCCTGTTGGACGTATGCAGTGCGATGGCGACCATATCCGCCCAACAGTTCATCAGATCCAAGCCCGTTCAGCAATACGCGGGCTGTGCTATGATATGGACGCGGCTCTCCTGCGGGTGGATCTCTCACTTGCCCGAGCCCGCGAGCGGCGAAGTACAGTGCCATTGCCAAGCTCTGCGCGGTACATATGAGACCGACGACACAATGTGCAGCTACCCATGAGCTCACCAAATCCATGACTGTATTTCGCGGCCAGATGATAGCCTCCACTACTGGTCTTGACGCCTGGTACTCTGCGTACGGAACATTGACCTCCACCTATGCATCATTAGATCAGTAAGATCCATCTTCCTCCTCGCTACACGACTCTTACGAAGTTCCATGTCCTTCCTGGACATATCCTTCTCAGTTCTTCAACCTCCTGCAACCCAGTCTCCCGATCCGGAACCATATAGTCGACTTCGCGCTTCTCTTCTACGAGCGGTTGCCTCCCTTTGCGTTTCGGCCGAGCCTGCAGCTTTCGCGGGTTCTCGAATGCGACATTCAATAGGTCTATTGGTTCATCCATGGGGACATGTCTGGTGCCGATTAGATCCAGCATGGAAGCGAAACGAAATGAGACGAACCCACCTATGGGCAAGGAACGCGCACATGGTCGAATCGATACCACCGCTGAACAGGACCGCGACGCGAGCACTGCTAGCTATGGCAGGAGCAGGGATATTTTCGACGCGCAACCTGGAGCTCGTGTCCAGATGCGCTATCAGTTGATTTACTGGTTCAGCGAGATAATCCGGGATCTCCGCTACACTGCCCAAAGTGGGCTCATGCTCCGCGGGCGGAGGTACGCCGTTGGTACGTATTGGCAAAGCCTGCGCTGAATGAGCACACGCATGATACAGAACAGGCGCGGTGGTCGTACATATCGTAATCTTTGGATATCCTCTGCGGGAATGCTGCGAGGAAGCTCTTGCAAGAAGCTCGAAAACTGCGAGACTGGCTACGGGCAGCGCATGAGCAGACATATCTTGTGAACATGATTGACCGCTCACATCCTCAGTTTCAACGACTCCACCCAGATCGAGTGCATAGAAGCATCCCGTGTCGATTTCAGCTAACTCATAGCCGTCCCTTGTCCCAGCAGACGAGCTAGCAAGAAAGAACCAGGGGCGCTCCCTCGTCGGCGTGTGCAGCAACAGACTCCGGCGGCCGAGCGGATCGCGCGCGAAGAATAGACGGCGGGACGCACGCTGTGACCGGCCGTACGTGAGCGAGCGCGTACGGCGAGAAGCGGGAGTATCAGGCTGACGTGATAGAACGCGAAAGCGTATCTAAGCGCGGTTAGCATCGGGCTATGGCCTTGTGAAAAGAGACGCGCACGGCACTCACGGCCCTTCAAGAGCGCCGAATAACTCGACGAGTTGTTCGGGGGAGGATAGGCTGGACAGGGCGGCGCTTAGCCGCGCGCCGTCGTTCTCATGGACGCTTATCTGAACGACGGGAATGTATGAGTAAGACTGGACGCAGTAGATGCGGAGGAGATAAACTGGGCCACTCACGTTCAAGCCGTCGAAAATCTGAGTGCCACGCCGTCACATACCGATGAGAGCGTGCGCGAGGTCCAGAGAAAGAAAGGCCCACCTCTCCATTCCAGCAAAGCACATTGCCCGTGTCGGGATGTACGTGCGGCTGAACGATGGGAGAATCACCTCGTAGCCAAAGCTCGGAAGAGTAGCATTCAAGGGACAGTCCACAGGCTGCGGTACCGGTGAGGTTCTCTATGTGAGATCTCTGCGCATCAGGTCCTGCGAGAGCGTGGTTCACAAACGGAGCCGCAGGAAATTTGATAAGATCGCAGACCTCTCGCAGCATTCGCTAGTTGCAGCTCCTTCTTCAGAGTATCGTATACATGATCTCTGCCTGTAGAGTCTACATCCGATGCCTTCCCCTGAGCAAACGAAATGGAGACGCAGATACCGCACATGGGCGTAGGAAGAGAGTTGTGCAGTTCACTTCAGCGCGCGAGCTCGTCGGGCGCGACATCTTACAGTCTCTTATAGATGTACCACGCCATTCTCGTACTCTTACACGCCGTCACTGTGATAGAAGCAACGAACATCCAGATGAATGCTACATGAGTGGATACAAGTTTGTGTTTAAGTACATTTCTGGTACACTGCTGCCAGGTCTACGCCATCTAAAACGCCCAAACGAAAGGGTTTTGAGCCCGCGACGATGCCGCTTAAGCGGAGTACGTCGACGCAGAGACGTTGCCACCACGACCGGTCCAGTTGATGTGGATGTCCTCGCCAGTCTTGAGCTTCTCGCTCTCGAAGCCAGGCATGACCTTGAAGGTGTGTGCACCGAAGTAGTCACGCTGCGCCTGGATAAGGTTCGCGGGGACGACCTCCGAGCGGTAACCGTCGAAGAAGGAAAGCGCGGTCGAGAACGCGGGCGTCGGGATACCCCAGAGGACGGCCTGCGCGATGACACGGCGCCATCCAGGCTGCGCCTTGGTGACGGCTATTGATGGTGATATGAGTGCTAATTCATCAGTAGACAGCGCGAAGAGTCAACGTACCGTCCTTGAAGAAGGAGTGGAAGAGGAGGGACTCGATGTCTGGCTTGGTGACGAACGCCTCCGTGATGTCCTTGAGGAAGACAGACTTGATGATGCAGCCACCACGCCACATGCGGGCAATGCCGGCGTAGTTGAGGTCCCAGTTCTGCTCCTTGGCGGTGTCGCGCATGAGCATGAAGCCCTGGGTGTAGGACATGATCTTGGAGGCGTAGAGCGCCTGCTCAAGGTCGTCGATGAACTGCTTCTTGTCACCGCGGAAGGGCTCCTTGTGCGGGGCGGCGAGGATCTTGCTGGCGCGGGTACGCTCGCCCTTGATGGCAGACAAGCAGCGGGCGAAGACGGCCTCACCGATGAGAGTGACTGCCCATCAAAACCGATTAGATCATGAAACTAGATAACGAGACTGAGAAAGCCACATACCGGGAACACCGGTGTCAAGCGCGTTGACGGCGGTCCACTTGCCGGTACCCTTCTGGCCAGCCTGGTCGAGGATCTTGTTGACGATTGCGACACCGTCGTCGTCCTTGAAGCGGAGGATGTTGTAGGTGATCTCGATCAGGAAGGAGTCGAGGACGCCCTTGTTCCAGGTCTCGAAGATGTCGGCGATCTCAGCCTCGCTGAGGTCAAGACCGCGCTTCAAGATGTCGTACGCCTCAGCAATGAGCTGCATGTCACCGTACTCAATACCTGCAAGATGACGTCAGCATGATTCGTCCGACGACTTCCGAAAAGAAGGGCGCAAACCGTTGTGAACCATCTTCACGTAGTGGCCTGCGCCGGTCGGGCCAACCCAATCGCAGCACGGCTCGCCGTAGGCCTGCGCGGAAGTCTTCTGGAAGATCTCCTTGATAGACGCCCATGCCTCAGTCGAACCGCCGGGCATGAGAGAGGGGCCGTAGCGGGCACCCTCCTCACCGCCGGAAACACCAGAGCCGACGAAGAGAAGGCCCTTGGCCTCGAGCTCCTTCGTGCGGCGGATCGAGTCAGGGTAGTGCGAGTTACCACCGTCAATGATAATGTCGCCCTTCTCGAGGTGTGGTGTGAGCTGCTCGATGAAAGCGTCGACGGCGGAACCGGCCTTGACGAGGAGGATGATCTTGCGCGGGCGCTTGAGCTTAGCAACAAGCTCCTCAATTGAGTGCGCGCCCTGGATGTTGGTGCCTATGCAGATACAGTGATTCGAAGTTAGCTGTAGTTCGAGACGACGCGACAACGCAAATCGTGCTTGTACTAACCCTTGGCCTCGTTGGCAAGGAAGGCGTCAACCTTGGACGTCGTGCGGTTGTACGCGACGACGTTGAAGCCCTTGTCGTTCATGTTGAGAATCAGGTTCTGGCCCTGTTACGCGCAAGAACATATGAGTTTGCGATCTTGCCAGCGCGATGAGATTGCTTACCATGACGGCCAGACCGATGAGGCCGATGTCACCACTGCAACAGACAACGATCAGACTATATTCGACTATTAGCAGCTAGTCAGCAGTACGTACGTGGGTGCTGCCATTGTTTGTAGGATGGATCTCAGGCGACGGAGGGGTGGTGGGGAGAACGAGGAGGAAGAGATCGATTCCCGATTATAAGCGTACCGGGCGGGTGGTCGGGCCGCCGCCCGAAGCGCGGGACGACTAATCCCATCGCCAGCTGCGTGGGTGTGGCCCACAGCGTCCTCCGCCGAGCGCGTTGACCCTCGGCCCCTCCGTTCGCCGTCGAGTGATTCCATGCAGAGACGCGCAGCCCTGACCGAGGATTGTAATACTTCGAGGCGCCCAGGCGAAAGGGTGCTGGTGTCAGGTTAACAACAACGACAACTCCGGAAACGGCCGTTGCGATAGATCGGATTGTTTCGCGCACTTTATGACGAAATTCCCAAACGCGCTCGCCTCCGTGTCCCCCAGGCCGCCAGCTTGGCCAAGATCATTCATTTCGTCGCATGCTGCTCCTCGCTTCCTCCTACATCTGAGTCCCTCACCGACGTATCTGCCGCCGTTAGCGGTGCATCGTCCTGTTCGCCATGCCAGAGACTCTCCCCAAAGCCTTTTCGGGGCCACTTGTTGCGTCTCCGAATCCGAACCCCGCGGCGCCCGTACACGAGGGATGGGTACTCAAGAAGCGGAGAAAGAAAATGCAGGGTGTGTGTAGGCCTCGCTAACACGTCTGTGTAAGCCCTGAACCGCGCTCGCAGGCTTCGCTCGTCGCTATTTCGTACTGTTCGAGTCCGGCATACTTTCCTACGCATTCGAACCTGGCAAGCCCGCTCGGGATCAAATCCAACTTCAGCAGGCCACGATCTCCACCTCGCGCAACACTAAGGACATCCATGTTGATTCTGGCAAGGCTACCTTCCACATCAAGTGCCTCGACACTGCCGACTTCGACAAATGGAATCTTGCTTTCCGGTTGGTGCCCCTAAGTGCAGCGCTCAGAACCAACGAACTGATGCGCTTCTATCTCCAGGCGATTTGTGGCGTCTCCCACAGATCCCCGCTCATTAGGGCGCAAGTCCTCCGTCAGCAGGGCGCAAACGCGTATCGGTCAGGTCACCAAGACCTCGGCTGTGATAGAAGAGATGGGCACGGTGCGTGCTACTCGGCTGTACGCTTGAATGCTGGGCTCAACGCGTCTAGACCATAGCCGAGTTGGAGCGCTCAATCGAGGTTCTGAGCGACGGCGGGGCGCTTAAGCGCGTTCCATCGCGAAATCTGGACAAACCCAAAGAAGGCAAGGAGCACTCTTCCAAGTTCAGTCTGTTCGGGAAGAAAGGTTCGTGCAGCCAATCTGGAGGTGTCTCTCAACATAGTTACTGAGTTGACATCGGTATAGGCAATCACCACCTTGGCCTATCACCTCGTCATGCCAATGGCGGACTTCCCGACGAACCAGATCCTGCACGGGAGGAAGCACTCAAGCGGTTGCACACCGTCGTCGCAACTCTGAAGGAGGAGCATGCGACGTTGGTCAAGCTCGTCACGTCCATATCCTCCGCGGACCTCACCATGTCTCCCGCTCTGGGCGGCTCACCTATGCCTGCAATGATGGAGGAGATGGACCGCTCGGCAACGCCCAAGACATGGCAACGACACTCTACGCGACACTCAGTAGCACCCTCTGTCGCCAGTACGGCGAGCGAATGGTACGACGCCCCCGACGATCTGCTCGGCGAGGCCATCGATATGGATAGCGAAGAGCCAACCTCGCAATCGCAAGAAGATCCGCACTCATACATGCAGCGGACCGAGAGCGAGCTTAGTTCGACTACGCCCAATGACTCCGAAGTCGGAGAGGATGACGGGTCAGATACGGAGGACGAGTATGAGGAGCCACCAGAACGGCCTTCTACGCACACCATCAAGTCTGAGGAGCAACGCACGATTGTACGCCGGCAGGCGCTTCCCAGCGGCCCGGTGGGTGATGAGGGCAGTCTCTTCGCGGTCATGAAGAAGAATATCGGCAAGGTTTGCACCTCTCCGTTGAGGCATATGTTCGGGGATGCTGATCATTATCGCAGGACTTGTCATCCATCGTATTGCCAGTCAGCTTCAACGAGCCCTTGACCCTTCTTCAAAGGGCCGCCGAAGAAGTTGAATATTTCGATCTTCTAACGCAGGCGGCCCAATCACAAGATCCCATTGAGCGCCTTTGTTATGTTGCCGCCTTTGCTGTGTCCGGATACGCCCATACAAGGCATCGATCAAGCCGCAAAGGATTGTACGTAGGCTGCATGTGCGGTGCTTCTCTCCGCTGATTGCCTCATACAGCAATCCTCTGCTCACCGAGACCTTTGAAGATCCTCGAATGAAGTTCATCTCAGAGAAGGTATCGCATCGGCCTGTTATCATGGCATATCACGCCGAGGGTCCAGGTTGGGAACAGTATTCAACCGTGTCCGGCAAGACGAAGTTCTGGGGTTCGTGAATCCGCGCGTATCGTCTTATCTCTTCTGACATCGCACAGGCAAGAGTCTAGAGATTATACCCACCGGAGTCAACCATGCGCGATTCGGCGACGAACTCTATGAATGGTCAGTACTTCCATCTCTCCGGCATATGTCGTATATTGACATATAGAGTAGGAGACGACCGTCGTCATTCATGCGCAACATCATGATGGGTACCAAATATCTCGAACACACTGGCAAGATGACCATTGAGTGCACGACCACCGGGGCTCGTTGTGTCATCGAGTTCAAGGAGAACGGCTACTGGAATCAATCCAACGAGGTCGTGGGCACGGTCTACTCGTCGGCTGGTAAAGCCGTCAGCTGGCTCGAGGGAAATTGGGACCAATCTCTGCAGCGCAAGATCGACTCCTCACACTTGCACGTGTTGTGGCGTATAACACCCTTCCCGAAGCACTCGCAGGAGCAGTACGGCTTGACGAGTTTTGCCATGACGCTCAACGAGATCACTCCTGATCTCGAGGGACGTTTACCGCCTACAGACTCGCGTATGCGTCCGGATGTACGCGCACTCGAGGAGGGCCGCATCGATGATGCCGAGCGTGGCAAGGAGCAGCTTGAAGGTGCGCAGCGCCAGCGACGCCAAGAGGGTAAAGAACGGGCGCCACGATGGTTCAAGCAGGAGGGTGAAGAGTGGATCTATACGGGAGGTTACTGGGAGACGCGGGAGAAGGGCTGGAAGGATGTCGCGCCACTGTGGTAACCAGCCCGTACATACACTAATCATCTACCTTATACTTGATATCATGCTCTCTTACTTCTTGCATTGCTTTGACCGCTTTGCTCGCTTTACTAGTTGTCATTTTACTTCACTAGTTATCTTAATGACACTCAGATACCCTAAGACCCCTCGCCTAATGGAAGAGATATCTACACGTCTGCGAGTTGTTCTCAGATCCATCAGCGTGTGGGCGCTGCAGCGGGACTACAGCGCGCGGCGGAAAGGCCTGCGAGTTCTTTCCAAACCACCATCATCGGGGCCACATCACATGCGAGAGTGTGCCTTTCCCAATGCAGCCTACGCTCTTCGATGTCTATTTGTGACAGTAGCATACACATGTATTTTTTCCTGCGCTACCCTCGTATCGTGCAACACAGCTAGCCGGCAAATCATGATCTCTGATGCGCCACTTCCGCCCCGCGCCCAAGAACGACGCTCAGTGTCGAGCTTTCGCGCAACGTACGCGAAAATGCAATGCACTCTTACCTTGATATGCTGTTGAAACTACTGGAATCGCCATTCTTATCGGCTCGGATATTCTTCCGGCTCTTGATATGGTCGAAGCACTGTTCCGTCTTCTGTTTTTCCGAGAAAACACAACTCCGGACCGCTATGGCCTATCCACCATGTATACCTCTACGTCAGCTATCTGCGTCCTCATATACGACCTGGATCCGGATGTCTTCCAGCCGGGCCGGGAAAGCAGCGTGCTCTAACAAGAAGCAGATATCAGCCCTTCGTGCGCTTCTACCATCGCTCAGAAGGTTCGGTTGCGCGTGTCTCTGCAGCACGCGGGCCACCGCTCTACCAAAATGGGCGCGCAAATCTATGACGCTCCACTGCAAGCGCAATGCTCTTCCGGATAGGGACGTACTGGCTACCCGCGCCTGACCATATCATGAGGACTGTACTCCTTCCCGACGGAGATCTGAGAGGGCGTATAAAGAGTACCGCCACCTTCTCTGGATCCACAAGGCGGTAACAGCCATGGCTAGTCGCTCGCTTCTAGTTCTTAGCTTAGCGGCATCCGCTTTGTCGCAGACCGGGCGTGCGTTCTTCGTGTTCAACTCAGTATCCATGATCGATGTTCTGATCGAGACGTGTTGTAGTCGCGCCCAAGGCCTTCCTCAGTCTTCCTCTCGGTGCAGTCAAGCCCGCAGGATGGCTTCACGACCAACTTGCCGTTCAAGTCGCTGGTCTCGCGGGCCATGAGATGGACTTCTATGACTACGTATCGGAGACGGATTGGATGGGTGGCCCGTCATACTACAGCAACCTCGAAGAAGGTACGCACCATAATTGCGACATTTCTGCCGGGCTGACTGGATGTTGATAGCCGGGAGCTACTGGTTTGTACGTCCCATTCTTTGCTTCATGGCGAACACTTCTCCCACTCACAGTTCACTTAGAACGGCGCTGTCCCGACCGCTTTCCTCATGGACGATGATACCATCAAGAGCCAGGCGCAGGCCTTCTTGGACTGGGTCCTTGACCACCAGGATGAGACCGGATGGCTTGGTCCCGAAGTGAATACGACGAAACCACGCTACCTGGTATGCACATCGTCCCCCTTCCATTATAGACATATTCTTGACAATAGCTTCAGTGGGGTCGCTATCCTTTCTTCTTTGGCGCAATGCAGATGGTCGAGGCGGATCCGAGTCAGAAGGATCGTGTTGTCAACGCATTCAACCGTTTCATCTCTCTTGCCCATACTATGCTGCAAAACGGTGAAGGTCTTGAGGATTGGACGAAGACGCGTTGGGAAGACTTTGTCGTCATGCTGCAATGGTATACATCCATGTTGTACTCGACTGGTGTATCTTTTCCTCATACAAATGACACCAGGATGTACGACAACAACTACTCTCCCGGTAATGAGACCCTTCTCATCGATACGATGAAGCTTCTCAAGTCTACGGGTGATCCGTGGGAACTGGTGTTTGATGAGCAGGTACGGGACGCGCCGATCACGGTTGGGTCTCCCCGTCTAACAATGATCAACAGTACTTCCCGACAACAGCGGTTGAGAACACACCCAATCCCTTCGGACTCGATCTGGTCTGGCATGGTGTCAACATGGCGGAGGGAATGAAGGCTCTCCCTGCAACATACCGTTTCACGCACAACCAGACCGATCTGGACCGGATCAGCAGCGGCTGGGACCTCCTGTTCAAGTATCACGGCCGTCCCTCTGGGATCTATGCTGCGGACGAGTATCTAGCGGGTTTGGCCGCAGTGCGCGGTACTGAACTCTGCCTGGTTGTTGTACGTATCGTTGCTCCAGTCATCTCAAGCAATGCTTACGTGTATCCCATAGGAAACGATGTTCAGCGGCTCTTATCTGTACCAGGTCTCTGGTGACGCCAAGTACGCAGACCGCGTCGAACGCATCACTTACAATGCGCTACCCGCTACACTCACGGGCGGTGAGCGGGCTTCTTCAGTCATTCGACGCTCTCATAGCTCATGCCATGCTCACAGACATGTGGTCGAGACAATATCTACAACAGCAGAACCAGATTGCGGCACAAAACATGACTCCGTGCGTACCAAGCTATGTAGTCCTTGCAAAGGCTGGCTCACCATCACCAAAGCAATCCTTTCCCATTGGATGGCCCATACTCCAACGTATTGTACGTAGAGTTGTTAGATGTCGTGCACCTCTCACTTACTCTTTTCCAGTGGTCTGGAGCCGAACTACCCGTGCTGCACTGTGAATCACCCGCAGGGCTGGCCGAAGTTCATCACCAACTCCTTCGTGACCACGCCCGACCAGGAGTCCCTTGTGCAAGTCTATCTCGGACCATTTAGCACGTCAACGACCTTGGCTTCTGGTACGTTGTCACGCGCTTCTGCCATTCTTGCCTTGTTTGTAATCTCCCGCTACAGACAATGCCGTGACTGCGTCTGTCTCGACCCTCTACCCGTTCAGCGATGCCCTTGACATTACTGTGACGGCCAAGAAGGCTTTCACTTACTACGTACGCATCCCAAGTTGGACCGTCGGCGGAACGGTCTCTGTCAACGGTGGTGACGCTCAGTCAGTGGCCCCGGGCGATAATGGCCTGCATGCCATCTCCGTCGGCCAAGGCACGACGAAGATCGCCCTCAACTTGCCGGCCGACGTCACCATCGGTGCGTATGGCCTTTTCCAGATGCAAGTGGTAGGACTCATGGTAGTTATAGAGGACCGCCAAAACGGCTCAGTGGCGGTGCATCGCGGGCCCTTGCACTACGCGTTCGACATCTCGCGCAAGCAGACCGTACTCGCGCAGAACGCGCAGGAGTCAAAGGCAGTGGATCTCCAATTTGAGGCGACCGAGGCTTGGGCATATGCGATCGACACGACGAAGCTTACATTCGTGAACACGCCGCCGTCAAGTGGGTCTCTGCCCAGCCCAGTGTTCGACTCTGGTTTGCCGCCGCTGTCGATTGTCGCACTGGCTTGCCCCATCGACTGGCCTGTTGCCGGAGACACCTTCGCCGCTGCTCCGCCACAAAGCCCCGCGACGTGCACCGGTGACGCGAAGAACATCACGCTGACGCCGTTTGGTGTGAGTCATGCTCCTCTCAAGCGATAGTATCCGCGCTGACGATATGCTACAGTCGACCAAGCTGCGTATCGGGGAGTTCCCCACTTTCACGTCTTGAATAGGTCAGATGCACTGGGTCTCACAACACACGTATTTTAACGGAAACCGAATCGGAATGTATTAGCTCACACACTTGGACTTGTATCAACTATCAAAGGAAAATCATTATGTCATTCTGCGGGGAATCTCGCTCAGTGTGACATTATCTACTATTAGGCGATATGGTCCATGAATGAAAGCGACGAGAGAAGTTGCGTTGAGAATAGAGGATGAAGCCTAGCGAGGACGATTGAAGTAGAGTTCACGCTACTTTTTCTTATTTTTGGTCGATGTTCCAGCCTTCTTTTCCTTGGTGGCGGCTTTTGCGGCGGCCTCTGCCTTCTTCTTTGACTTGTCTTTTACGAGACTATCAAATGCAACGTCATCCGGATCGGCATCCTTCTTGTCTTCATCGTCATCCGGGACCTCCTCGTCGACCTAGTAGACGGGATAAGCATCATCGATCACCGATACAGAGCTTCGGACTCACGTCGTAAGCTTCCTCGAGGTCTGGGGCAGGTCCAGCATCCGCAATCTTTTTGGGCGCTTTGCCGAGGTCTTGGGCCCGATGGAAGGGGATGGGGTGCTCACGCGCGTTATACTTCTTTGTGAACGCAGTCTTAGTTGCCGTGGGAATCTTTTTCAGCACAACGTCATCGCGGAAGTCACCCAGGCCGAGTTCAACGACGGTATCCCAATCTTCACGCGAGAGAAAGTACTCATCCATAGCTTCAATGACCTCGTCGACGGCGCTCTGGAGAGTGATTGAGCATCAACTTGACGTGCAACAAAACACTACTCACGGAGCCTTCGTCTATGAGCGGTCGCACAATATGGGGGAAGAGCGCAGGAATGTAAGACTGCCTGATCTCGTTCTTGTCGCCGGAAACTTTGAGGCGCATATGTATCTGAACGTCGCTGAGAGCCCTGCTAAGTTTGTTGGTCTTAGAGTTCTGTCCTAGCCATCTGGAACGAGTTCAGCCTTCAGTGAAGCATAGAATGGTAAATGGCACCTACTGGGGGAACGACATTGGGGTTTCACTTCCCCATCCGCCGCCAGGTCCATGGATGAATGACGCTGGCCGGACAGTGGAAAGCGCAGCATGGGTTGGCATGAGAGTCCAGTGTTGTTCGGACCTGGGATGACGTCAGATTAACTCTACCCGACAACATATAGTCACGAACCCATGGATGAGAGAGTCGACGAGATCGCCGTCTGAGATGGACGATGCTGCTTGATCCATGAGCTTCAGGTCCTCCATCGCTTTCTCAGGGCCATCCAGACCGCGCGTTCGTTGCGGCGAAGTCTTGAGATAGTTTTCCTGCATGAAGAGCGGAACGAACGAATAGTCCTGAAAGTATAGTTCCATCTTGTCGTTGAGCGTCTTGCGGCTATTAGTTGCCCACAGCTGAGGCCCTAAGATCTCGTGGATGATGTTGAACGGCGACATGACGGCGTATTTCTCGTTCATCTTCGCACTGAAAACATGGTAAGTATGCTATGACAGGATGACACGTCTCGCGTGCGTACAGTGCCTTCGACTCGTCGAAATCCATCGTATTGCTGCTGAGTTTCCACGTCGAAAGCATGTTGAGTACTTGACGGATGTCCGAATTGACGCCCTGAATGAGCTGGTCTACGACGTTGGCAGGGAGCTTCATCTTCTCCCTGTACTTGCTCAGTGGGCGATAGTAAGGCGAACGCGGGATAACCTACTTGTACGCGATAGTCATCATACGCGACCGAACCTCAGTGGCTTGAGGTCGCTTGAACGTCATTTTGAAGGTCGCGTTGACAAGCGGTTTCATCTTAGGAGTACCGGCGTCATTGGCGATGCAGATGATGGGGATCTGAAGATGCGATCAGCGGCATTCGTTCACGGCGACGTGGTCTGGTTATACCTTAGTCTTGCGTATGAGGGCTGCAAGCGCACCTACGCCACCACGGTCGCCGGCAGACATGCCATCAACTTCATCCATGATGAGGCAGGATTTGTTGGTAATAGCAATTCCAGCGACGTTTGTAGCCTGAGCAATGCACATTAGCGGATGGCTGCGCATATAGAACTATTAGTCACCTCTCCTCCGCCCATCCAGCCATCGAGAGAGGTGTTGGCAATGTTCGTGCTATTCTGTAAGAATTCATTAGACGAGGAGTCTGATGGAATGGAGTGTGCGCACCTCGACAAGCTTTTTGCTACGAGCGTCACTGGCATTCAATTCGATGGGTGTGTAACCGGCCATCTTGGCGCATAGATGTGCGCTTGTTGTTTTGCCAATACCGGGAGGTCCGGAGACAAGGAGGCCGCGAAAGACGCCAGAACCGTCCTTGTTTGGGCGCTTGAATCCGGATTTCATACTAGCATCCCTATATCGTCACTTAGCGCCAGCCGTCTTACGCGGGGTAGATACATTCTTACCAGTTGTTGAGCCACATGATAATCTTCTCAACCTGGCCCTTATTGCCACAGATCTCCTTGAGAGATGTCGGCGCATATCGGTCTGTCCACAGTTGAGTCGTTGGATCCACTTTATTCGCACTGGATGCAGTAAGTAACGGGCTCATCATCGGATAGCCGCATCCGACGTACCCGACGACTTTCGCTGCGCCCTCGGGCGCTTTGCCTTTTGACGCCTTAACAGCCTCCTTCTCGCGAGCCTCCATTTCCTTCACAGTCTTCTCCATCTCCTTGCGTTCCTTCTCTTTCTTCTTTCTGGTCTTCTCGTCGTCCTCGACAGGTCCGCCGCGCGTCGCTATCAAGTTCAAGAACTCGTCCTCATTGATAGACTTCAATCCGTTCTTCTTGATCGCGGCGAGCTTCGAAGGACCGGCGTCCTCGCCGAGTACAACGTACGACGTCTTGGACGAAGGTTGGCCAGTAACGCGTCTGAGAGTCTAGTTAGTGCCGACTCGGAGGTGGACATCGATGCACATAGTACACACCCTCCGTATCGTTTCGCTAGGTCAATCGCCTCTTCGCGAGCTAGGCTGGTAAGCTGGCCGGTGAAGACGAACGTGAGGCCGGCAAGACAGTTGTCTTCGCCTATAGGTATATCCTTCGACCCGGGAGCAGCAGGACCTGCTAACTTGGCGGCCTTTGCGGCGATCCAGCTTGGTAAAGCGAGGTTAGCTGTCGGACTTCAGAGACGGCCATAAACACTTACGCAGGCTTCTTCTTTTCGCCCTCCTTCTCGGTCTTTACCTTAGCTGGTGTTGATTTCTTGGCAGCAGATGCATTTGTCGACGCCTTCGATGCAGGTGTCTCCTTCTTGACCTTAGCAGACGTCTTCGCCGGCGTCTTCTTCTTGGGCTCATCCTCCTCAACCTCCATATACTCGTCCTCGCTCGACTCCTCCTCCTCCTCCTCATAAACTCCCTCGTCTTTCTTGCGCCGTTTCGGAGCAGGAGCGGAAGACGTCGAAGCGCGGGGTTTAGCCTTCGGAGTCGACTTGGACGGTGTAGCTTTGGTAGAGGAAGAAGCGGCCTTCTTAGAAGGGACAACTTCCGCGATATCCGAGTCTTCGTCTGATATCACAGACTTTCTGCGCTTCGCAGGCGGTTCAGGATGCGACCTATCGAATAATAGTGGTTTGAGCGTCAAACGAGAGGGGATAGGAGAGCGAAAGTCACGGACTTCGTGAGCCGTGAGGGCTTCGGCGCTTCGTCTTCGTCAGAGGATAGGGTTGAGCCCTTACGCTTCAACGGTTGCGACTGTGTCTTGGGCTTCTTTGGGGATGGAGGCCTGTGGTTCACAATGTCAACATCTTTGATCGCCATAAGAATACACGAGGGCCGATAAGGGAGCACCGAAACACTGTATTGTGATGTAAAGAGCTTGTGAGACTCACTTAGTAGGCTTAGTTGCTTTCACCGGAGCGCTGTGTCGGTCAGCATGCTGTAGCCATCCCGATATAGACGCATACAGACCTGTCCTCCTCATCTGTGTCAACTACGAAAGATATTCAGAAAAGGGGTACAGAGTGTAAATCGCACGCGTCACGCACGTATCTCTATAGTCGCTTTTGACTTCTGCGAGCTTGCCGGAGTCTACCCAGAGTCAACACCTTGCACGCGCCACAAGACCATCGTAAGCACCGTTGACGCAGTCGTGGACTGTGACTTTCCTCCGCCTCCAAAGAATGCGCGGATATCCTTTCCAGACGTTTGACTACTGGACTTCTTTCCTGGAGGGGGCATGAGGGATATTCGATAGGTGGGTAGTGGAGGTTGTGGTCAAGACGCGACGCGACGCGACCGAAGCGCGTTGAGCGCGTCAACCATACACCTTCGTCATAACCACGATCACATACGTGTGATCGCCCGCACATTGCGTAGAAATATTCTCCCCAAGTTGCTTCCCGCGAGGTTGCAGAGACGTCCGACACATATACAAAATAGACATAATCACGCGCATACTAGTAACTATGGACTCGGAACGAAATCCAGTGAAGTTCGGCACATGCGCCCCTATGCTAGGTATGCGAAGAGAAGAGGGTATCTTAGGGTTGTTATCGTGCCCTACACAACTTGAATATCATAATGGTGAAAGTCTTCTTCTTTGTAATCCGTGACACTCTGCCGGTAATTCTCCAGCGCCCGAGCGCGCTGCCAATCTTCGTCCTCCAGGGCTTGCGGATCCACTTCGTGACCCATCCATCGAAGAACGTACGGATGCGCTTCCACTTTCAACGGGTTGAAGTTGAGTACCTGGAGGCTCTCCATAGACGTCGCGCGGGATAGCGCAACATACGCCTGACCGCGTTCGAAGACGCGGGCAAGGTCAACCTTGACGCGTTCCAAGGTAGCTCCTTGCGACTTGTGGATGCTGAGAGCCCAAGCAATGATGAGTGGGACCTGTATGCGGCCCGCCATGAGACGACCAAAGCGGTTCTCTTGATGGAACAGGACTGGATGACAGAATAACGTACGCCCCCTCGGAAAGCGTACGAGCGGGTACCGCCGATCTGTCCAGCCACTCTTTGTGTTCGGGTCGCGACAGATATTCGGCATTGCTTTGATGGCACTTTCCAATGTCTTCGGGTCATGAAAAGGGAATATTCGGCGCCCTATGGCCTCGTCTATCGTGCAGAAGTCCTCGATAACTCCTACAGATCCATTCACGTATTTTCCTTGGATCATGTTCTGACAGCGATGCGGTCAGGGTTGAGGGAAACAAAGTGTAAGGGACACGTACTCTGATGAGCATGACTTGCGCTCCTTCCTTGACATCGAGGTCCTGCGGGGCGGCAAGGCGCTTCCGGATGTCAGCCCTTAGCTCGTCTGAGATCGGACAGTTGTTGTCGTCCACTCCGTATGGGATCTCATACCCGACGAATCTGATCAGAGGATGCTTGATGTCGTCGAGTTGCCTCTGGTTGGCCTCTGAGGCTTGTTCTTTCGTGGGATATCTATAACGTTGCGTCAGAAACTCTGGGTGCTCTCTGGGAGTGACTCGCAACTCACAGCTCGACGGGGCCGATACCATCTGGATAGTCGACTCTACGATCAAGGTTTTGCAGCACCGTAGTGGTTTCTGCGCTAACCCTGCCGATCTTCATCTCGTTGAGGAGATGCACGAACTCTGCACTCGTCAGTGCCGCTTCGCGTATGGAGATCGCCGCAGCTCACCCTCGTCAGACTGACGGAAGACATGAGTCAGCCGATGAATAGTGTTGAAGCAATACGGCCACGACCCCGCTTCAAAGGCAAACTTGGCCTTGCCTTTCTGAGGGCCGGGAACCGGAGGCAGTTGGAAGAAGTCACCTGACACTACAAGCTGTGGCAGACACTGAGCGAATCGTTCTGATCGTGTAAAGAGCATGAGCCACCTGTATGCCTCCAAACGGCCTGTTATTTTGCTGTACCACTCGGCAAATATATTCCTATCAAGGTCGGATCAGGCTTACACTGAGAGCGAGTGGCAAAGAGATAGCCACGTGCCACTTTATCAAACAGTTCTCTGTCGATCATGGAAACTACATCAAACACTTAGTCCATGACCTCTCGAAGAAGTACCGAAGACTGACTCTCATCTATGATCAAACACCTCGTCTGTCTCAACCGCTTTCTTCTGGTTTTGAACGGCAATATGTCCTCTTCCAAAAGCAATTCTGCCGTCTTTGCGCCTTGGCCGATACCCGCCCATGAATGGAATGTACGACCGCCTTTGAAAGCCACGGATGCTGCTCCAGTGGAGGTAGTGATGGCCAATTGGCGCGGACTGTGGTCCCATAAATTCATGATCTCGCGAATAAGCAAAGACTTTCCAGTGCCTGCGGAAGATATCATCAGCAGGAGAAGGGCGCGAAGACGATAAGCATACCAGCAGAACCCGTGAAGAAGACATTCTCTCCTCGTCGGACACGTTCAAGGATATCGAGCTGCTCGGGCGATAAGTGTACAGACGACCCGGAGTCCTCGGAGTCCGCGTTGTCTGTTGAGCCCTTAGTACGCTTCCCTGCGTGGGAAAATATAAGCGACGGACCTTCTACGGGTTGTGGCAAAACTTCGTTTCGCGCCACATTGGTAGAGTCAGCCATGACAACGGAATTGTCCGACATGCTCTCCGCCTTGATGCCCGCCAATACGTTGACCTTGGGCGATGCCACCTACACCTTGCTTAGTGTATGCGCTACCATATATTGCCACAGTGCTCACGCTCGCGAGATGTTGCATCTCCTTAGTCTTCCGCTGGTCTCTCAACTTCGAAGCGATGTCTATGTTAATCCCGTGTTTGTGAGCGGATAAGCCTCAAGATCACAATGTCGCTCACAAGCGGGATGCTGGTCCATCCATCGTTCAGCAGCAGCATGCGAAGGGTGCCCCTTGAATACAACGCCAGAGGCCCCGTCAACCTGGGAGGTTTAAAATCAGATCGCGTTCAATAGCATTCATGTCCCGAATACGACGTACGTGATGTCGGATCTAGTGAATATCGAGGAGTTTATGATGTCAGAGAAGTCCGCGCATGTGTAAGAACGCTCACTTCGCTCCAAAGCTTGTCGGGGTATATCTTGGTCCCCTCATGGCCATTGATGACCGCGAAATACTGGCGCTTGGCGGCTTTGCCCATTGACAAGAGTGTTCTGCGACCCGACGTGTTTGGTTACCTCGAGTGGTACGCACGGCAGCGGCAGCAGAGCAAGCAAGAGACAAAGCTGAGATAGGGGTCAGATGGTGGGCGAATACAAGTCGCGCTAAACCGCGCTGCGGTTCATCAAGTTCGCGACGCGTGCGCTCGGACGCGTCGCGCCGGCGCGTGAACTCGTTCAACGCGGTCAGCTGATATGCGCGCTTCTAATTCGCACGAGTGCTGCGCGACCAGATTAGACCAGTACTACCGTTAGTACGAGAGCGCACGGCGTCTTTCAGAGCCACAGGACCCTACTGCCCCTTTCTGAATGGAGCCAACGTAACGCGTAACGCGGACCCGATTTGGTTGGCCGAATTCACGAACCGTAACGCGTAACGGGCCTCGCAGAGCTCCCGAAAATGGACGAAGAATTCGTTGGAAAATCCGAGAAAAATTCTGATGGGTACGCAAGTGCACAAAATGAGTCGTAGTAGCCCAGGATCCCTACTGGTATGCTCACATTATACCACAACCTTGAAATCCTCACTATGATGGACATCTGTAACGGCTTTCACGTGCCCCGTTGGGAGCCGTGAACCGTAACGCTCCCAAACCCCGTTGGCTCCATTCAGAAAGGGGCAGTACGCGCCGGGGGTTGAGTCTAGTGGATGTTCGTCACGGAAGGAAGAGAATCTCGGTCTGTGAGACATCGCTCTGTTCCCGTCGCGCCAAAACAAAAGCCGGACGTTGGTCGCAGATTTTGCGAACGAAATAAATGCGCATATCTCATTGAGGTAGCCCATATACGTAAAGCGTCGAGTACTTGAGTTACGGCGAGCCAAGAGGCTGAGTTTGGGACCGTCCGCTTGAGCCCGACATGGGAGTAGAGTTCAAGTTCAAGTAGACGCGGTCACGACTCGGTACGCTTGCTTGATAACTGACAGTTTTGTACTTCCTACCTACCACAAAAACACATACGAACAAACACAAGCGCGCCCATACCAGTACATATGTACTCGAACGAAGTCAAAACTGCACGAAAAAAGAGTATTATGTACATTAATCGAACTGGAAAAGTGAGAAAGGGATATCGCAGTCGTACGTAGCTAAAGGAAAAAAGAAAAACGAACAAAAAATGAAACGGAAGTACTTGAGATATTCCACAGATGATACGATGTCGCGGGCGTAGTACGGGACGAGTGAGGAGGGGAGGCAGAGAGGTGATGAGAAGAGAAGAGTAAAGAAGAAAAGTATCCAGTATGCACGTCCGGCCAGCCGCCGTCCTCTCCACCTCCATCCTCAGCCTCAATCCCTCGTACAAGCCTCGTACAACCCCTTACCACCTCCTCAACACAAGCATCTACTCAGCCAACCACTTCTCACACTTCTTCACGTACTTATCCAACAACTGCGCCAGATCCCTCACGACGAACGGCAGTACGGCATTCGCGAAGAACTCGCTGTTTCTCCTTAGCCTCGCTTCAACGCTCGCTCGTAAGTCTGGGGGGAGAGCGGCGTAGGAGGGCGCGGGCGGTGTCATTACTATAGCGCGGCAGTGCTCGTCGAGGAGTTGGGAGGCGGCGAAGAGTCTGCCGAGGGCAGTTGTGTAGGCTGCGGGTGAGTCGAGGGAGCCGCTAATCACGAGCGTCAGTATCGATTCTTAGTAGATTAGAAAGGGAAACGACGTACTTCTTCTGGTTCGTGAGCTTGTCGAACTGGCGCGTCATCTTGCCTGCCCAGGCCGTGACCTACAATGTCCATCAGCCTTGACACAAAGTCCTCAAGAAAGCAGCACATACCCCGCTATTCTTCTTACTAGCAAACCCCTCCCCAACGCCCAACTTCTTCCCAAAATTCGCCACAACGCCCTCACAAACCCCCGCAAACTCATCCAAGCCCCTCACCCACACCTCGCCCTCCTTCTTCCCCACACTCCCAATCCCCATCCCCATCCCGCTCGCGACACTCCCAGGACCAAAAACCTCCCCACTGACCCGCGCAAGCTCATCCAGCGCCACAGCCAATATCTCCGCGACCCTTACCTTCTCCGGCGTATCCCTTAGCTTCGCGCCGCCCTGCGACCATACACCTTGCGGGACGTGCAGCTTGCGCGTGATGTACCCGCCCGACTTGCTCGTCATCGTATGCCTGAGCAGACTCATCATATGGAACGGTTTTCGCAACGCGTCGCTCGGCGGCGCGGGCGGGAGCGGGCTCGTAGGCGTCGTGGGCAGCGTCGCGTGCGGTATCGGCGGCGGCGGCACGAGCGCGGTGACGAGCGTCAACGACGGTGCTAATGGCGGGCTCTGCAGCCCGCTCTGCACGATCTGCACGCTCGGGAGCGGGTTCGACGTCGTGATGACGGACGCTTTACTCGCGATAGTCGAGGCGCTCGCTTTTCGAGGCAAGATGGGTCGCTCAGGTTCGTAGGGCAAACCAGGCACGGCCGAAGCTGGTGCTGGGGGAGCAGGCGGCAACGAAGGCCTGTGCCCCGGCTGCGAATTCGCTCTCGAGCGCCCGCGCATCGCAGACGGCGGCGGCGCATCGGACATCCGCGGCGAGCCGTTCGCCGAGCTCGACGGCGGCGCGCTCATCTTCGAGCGCCGCTGCGAGATCGTGCCCTGGCTCGTCGTACTGTTCACCAGCGCACTCTGCGCCAGCTGCTCGCGCATGCTCAGGATGCTCGGCGCGCGCGGGCGCGCGCGGTACGTGCTCTGGGTGTCGTCGTCGAGCGGGACGGGGTTCGTGCGCGGCGTTGGGGGGCCGAGGACGGAGGAGGCTGAATCGGGTGAGGTTGGTAAGGGCGGGAGGGGATGGGACTCTCTGTTCGGATCGCGCGGGTTGAAGGGCACAGAGGCGGATGTCAGCGAGTCTGTGCGTGGGCGGGGTGGTGCAGCCGAGGGCTCGAGGGCCTCGATGTGTGATTTCGTTTGGAGGGGCGACTCTTCGGTTAGGGCCTCGAGTCGAGAGCCAGAGTGTGTGCGGGAATGTGTAGACACTGATTGGCCGCGTTGTCGTGAGACGGGCGCTGCGAGGTGGTCGACGGGTGCGGGAGGCGGTGCTGCTTGAGGAGGCGGGACTGGCGGGGGCAGATTGGACGAGGCGCGTGGACGGGACGCGGCCCGAGAGGGGGTGCTCGGTCGTGACTGCACAGACTGCGGCGGCGGGGGTGGCGGCGGCGGGTGCTCATCGAACGACGAAGCAGAAGAAGCTGCGTAGGGATGCTGGTAGCCGGTAATGGTGGCCTGGCTGAATCTATGAACATTTGGCTCAGCGTCGCTCTGGGAGCTCGGGCTGCTCGGCCTGTTCCCGTCCTCGCCCACGCCGTGCGGAATATCGTAGATCAAGCTCAAGATATTCATCCTGTCCGCATAAGTGTCGTGTATGGTCTTGAGCCTTCTGATCTCCTCCTCCTGCGCGACGACGCTCCTCCTGCGCCCGCCCGCGCTGCCGCCGCGCTTGCCGTCGTCGCCGCGCATGACGCGCTCCATGACCTTGCTCAGCAGCTTCACGCTCTCGCCGTACGCCACAATCGCGCCGTGCGGATCGTCGTTGGTGCTGTCCAGCCGCACCGCCTCCCTCGCGAGCTCGAGCGCCCTCGTCAGCGTCTTGCGCGAGCTCAGCTTCCCGTCCCCCGTCCGCGAGCTCGCACGTGAGCTCCGCTCGTCCGATCGCGCGCTGCTCGACGGCGACAGCAGCAGCCGGTCTGGCACGATGTCCTGCCCGTGCATATCCGGCGTGCTCGCCCCTGAGCTCATCCCCCCGCCCCCATACTCCCTCGCCGCCTGCGCCTGGGAGAACGCAGCGACGGCCGCGAGCCCAGGCGACGCCGCCGGCCGGTAATAAGTGTTCACGTTCGTGTTCGCGCCCTCGTCCAGCGGCGGCCTCGGCAGGTAATGTTGATAATGCCCGTAGTGTTGTGCGTCCGCCAGCGGGGGCACGTCCGGGATCGGCGCACTCGGTGGGGGCGCGGACGGTCGGGGTGGTCGCAGGATGGCGCTGCGTCTGCGCGCGGACGGCGGGGAGGAGGCGAGGGAGGACGAGGAGGAGGAGGTCGAGGGCGGGCCGGTCCCGAAGCGGTGGTAGGCGCCGTCGTCGAGCGGTGCGTGCGCGGGGGCCATCATCTCGCCGAGCTGCATCGGGTTCCGTGCATAGGCGCCCGTGGGTCCGGTCGTCAGTCGTTCGTCGTCGTCGTCGTTGGTTAACAAGACTTCGACAGACTCCCGGCCGCCCCGTCCGGATTCCCTTTTTCGGTCAAGCGCTAGATCTCAAGACTGGAACGTCTCCATCACCAAACCCCCATCACCTTTCATCTCCGCAGTTTCGACTATAAACCACGCGCATGCAACATCAGTATATAAAATGTAGTCGAAACAATAATGCAAGAGAAGGCCGGGGCAGGAGCGGGTATAATACTTGTAGGTACGTTGCTCGTACGAGAGAGAGCCTTGAGAGAAAAAGTGGGGTGAATAGCCTAATATTTTTCCGCGAACAATGATCGAACGAGAACCCTCTCCGCACGCCTACTGCCCGCCAAACTCGCCCTGCGACCCCTGCGCCGCCAGGCGGCTCTCCAGGTTGCGCAAGCTCTCCTCCTTGGCCAGCAGCTCCTGCCTCTTCTCGTTGATCTCCCGCTGCACCTTGAGCTCGATCTCGCGAAGCTGGGAAAAAGCGCATCAGAAAAACCCCGTTAGCGGGTTACGCAATGTGAAATCGCACCTTCTCTTCCTCCCGGCGGAGCTGCTCCTCCTTGAGACGCACGCTCTGCGACGCCAGCTCCTCGGGGAGGATGGACGAGTCGCTGATAAGAACGCGTTAGCGCCGTCCCGTCAAACGGCTAAAATGAAATAACGTGTACGTACTGCGTCTCCGTGTGCACCGTGCGCGACAGCTTCTCGGTACGGTACGTCTCGTACAACACGTCGTGCGTCAGGCTCTTGAGATCCGCAAGATGCGAGCTGCGACACCGACCGCATCAGTATCACCCCAAAACAGATGGCAAGCGCATCATTTTTTTACTCACTTGAGCAGCGCGCTGCGAAGCCGGCTGAAATCGCTGTGCTTCGGGTTGTCGACCTCGACGATGCCCCACGGGTAGATCCTGGCCCTGACGGGCTCCCCGTCGACCTCGATCTCCTCCTCGCTGCCGACAATGGCGAACGGAAGAAGCGCGCGGAGCTCGGAGTTGTCCTGGATGGTCTCCTCGTCGTCTTCCTCGACGTCGTACGGGAAGTTGTACACGGGGATATCGTAGTGCTCGATGTCCTCCATGATGCGCTTCTTGAAGCCCTTGAGCTCGGCGGGGGTCAACGAGTCGGCTTTGCCCACGACCGGGATGACGTTCACGCGAGGGGAGAGACGGCGCATGAGTTCGATGTCCATCTCACGGAGCCTGTAGATATCAACAGCACATCAACATCTTCGTCACTGGGTATAGCTGTAGGAGATGACACTCACGCGTGGCCGGTGGGCGGGATAAAGTAAAGCAAGGCGTGGACGCGGTTGTCGCGGAAGCGCGGGTTACGCTTGATACGGCTCTCCTCGGCGAGAATGTCGTCGTACTGACGCTCGAGGTAGCCGACGATCTCCTGGAAGCTACAATAGCGCCGTCAGCTACAGCGTATCTGTGATGATGGGGTGATTGTTGGGCCTGGCGAGGGTACTCACGCGAACTCGTTGTCGATGTTGTCGCCGAAACCAGGCGTGTCGACGATGGTCAGCGCAATGCGTACGCCGTCCTCTTCGAGCTCTGCGGGTGTCGGGTTAGCAATGACATTTCGGGTTTCGAGCCAGAAGGGGAATGCTTGGAGAGGGCAAGCTCGCCCTGGATGAAGATGGGTTGGGGACACGTACCGACGTTGACGGGCTTGATCTTGATGCCCTCCTCAATGTGGGCCATGTCGGGGTTGTCGGACACCTTATGGGCGAGCACCTCGCTCTCGCACAGCGTGTTCACGAACGTCGTGCGGCCCGTTCCGGACGCGCCTGTTCGCCACAACAATCCACATCGTCCATAGCACAGCACGCAGCACAAGATACGTAGCGACCAACGACAACACGCAATAAAGAAACAAAGACACAGTCAGCTCCAACCCCAACACATCCAGAACAACCAACGCGCAACGCACCGACGACCATGACAGTAAACTGCACGCCCTTCTTGACTTTATTGCCCCGACGGCGGCCAGCGTACGACATCCTGTGTAAATGGGACAGCTTGACGAAAGAGTAGGCGGGAGAGGCGGCGGGAGACCAGGCAAGCGAGCTCAGAGTCGCAACAGCCAACGTCGAAACGCTGGCCGCGCGGACACGTGCGCTGGCGGAGTTCTCACGCTCTGTGTTCGGTTGAGACGCGTCGCGTCTTGGACGCTCTTCATGCTTGTTCGTGGATCTGCTCGGGTGATATGCTCTCCGACTGCTACTGCTGCTATTAGAAGTCTTGGTACTACGAATGCTTGTGCTAATGGGAAACGACGCGTGACAAAGTCGTTCTCCGAGTTACCGACTACCTATGCGCCGCCGCTTCCACGCTGGACTGGTGGGCTTGAGCGCGACACCTCAGACTATGATGTAGACACCGGTGCGTGAAACGCCTACTATCATTACTCAGAGCCTCATGCTAAGATATATAGCGCCAGACGGCTCACTGCACGCGAGTGGAAGCAATGCCCGGATGGTCAAACTTGCGCACGATGTGGCGAACTCAAGACCACCAGTCCTTTCCGCCGAATCTCCCGACGAGCCCATCGTCGAGCCAGAAGTGGACGAGTCTGGATGTACAGATGATGCTTTGTCTACGACTGCTACTCGCAGACGCGGACGACCGAGGAAACAACCTACACGTGAGTGCAATTCTCGGCAATGGGTTTGCCATGGCTGATTGCTGCGGTGTGTAGCTGAGGAAGAGACGATGGACGAAAACTTGGATACCTCTGCTGCAGAAAACGATGCGGGTAAGTCGTCTTTTTGCCGGATGTCATGTGCTGTTGTGAATGCTACCGCAGATCTCGAACCTACCAAGCCAAGGCGTGGTCGTCCACCAAGACCTAAGCCAGGTAACGCATCCCACATTCATCCTCCAGAGCTCGTATTCACCGTTTGTTAGCAGACGATCTTTCCGACCTCATGGTTAGCAGCGCCGACACCGGCGACGTCCTCCGCCTCAAACACCGCCCGCGACCCAAACCCGCATCTCCCACACCAGACGACGAACCCCCTTCAGAACCCTCAGAACCCGACGCGCCCCGCACAATCCTCCAAACCTCCATCCTCTCCAACCTCTCCGCCTACCCACACTGCATCCTCCTAACCCGCGTCGGCCAATTCTACGAATCCTACTTCTCCCAAGCGCCCCTCGTATCCCAGCTCCTCTCCCTCAAGCTCACCTCCCGCGTCTTCTCCAAACGTCGCGTGCCCATGTGCGGCTTCCCCGTGCAACACTTGCATAAGCATCTGAGGACGCTGGTGGTGGGACATGGGCGGTTCGTCGCGCTTTGCGAGGAGTTTCCGAAGGGAGGGGAGTTTGGAGGGAAGGTCACTTTTGAGAGGAGGGTGGTGAGGGTTGTTACGCCTGGGACGCTTATTGATGAGCCGTTCTTGAACCCTTATGAGAACAACTATCTTCTCTCTGTCGCTCCCGGATCCGCTGGACCCGATGAGGATGGAAGCCTCCCGCTCGGACTGGCGTGGATCGACGTGTCGACGGGCGAGTTCTTCAGTCGCGCTACGACGGCGGATGCACTGCGCGACGAGATTGTGCGCCTCGTGCCGAAGGAAGTTGTTTTACCAGCATCGCTCAAAGATGATCCAACGAACGCCGTCGTCACTGCTCTCACCGAGGAGGGATGCTTCATCTCGTACGCGGAGCCGATACCCGACGCAGACTCCGTCGTACTCGACGACACATCATGCGACACGATCCCGCCTGACGACCTCGCGCCAGAAGTCGATGTCCACGCACATCGCTCAGCCCACGAATCCGCCGCCATAACCCAACTAACATCCTACCTCCGCACCAACCTCCTCGACCAAGCCCCCACCCTCCCCTCCTCCCCCTCCTCC